TCTGTTCCATTTTGGAATATTATTATTCATTGTTATTCTTTATTTGAATTTTATATAATGTGGTATAATGTTTTCGCGAATTTTTTTTCTCGCATATATTTTAATTAGACAATTTTCGTTATCTATATTACTATGACGGAACACTCTCCTAAGGTTCTTAAGTTTAAGTCTATTCCCTTATTTCGATTCAGTTAACGCCATTTTGGCCCGATAATATCGAGTCCCGGTTCTGCTATGCAGAAGCTGATTTTTGCATGCACGGAATCATGGACTCGCGCACAAGTTTCCTCGCGGTAGTTAAGGCATTACCGCGCGAGTTTAGCAGGTACGTAACACCTAGTATGTTTACTACTGATGTTCCCTCAACAGGTGCAGGCAGTGCTTGTTTCATTTCAAAACAATGCCATAGATGAACTAGCTGCATCTGCCGATCGAATCTTGGAAATCAAATTTTCTAAGGCCGAGGTTTTTTCCATTAAAGAAAAACCCCAATCGACCTCGACTGACATGGCCGAACTATGTCACACGCTTACAAGATATCTTAGAGTTCGTAATGACCGTAGTCGGTCAAAATCCTCACGTAGGAGCGTTTCACGTAAGAGATCTGTCTCTCGTGGTCGAGAGACAGACAACCCCAACTGGTGCTGGTATCACAACCAGTACGGTAAATCCTCTAGAAATTGCAGGAAGCCCTTCAATTATCCGACCCCAAAATCGAGTGACACGAAAAACAGTCCGGGAAACTTCCCAGCCGGCACGCGTTAACAGCAACCGTAGCCGGCGAACACAGCCGCCTCTTATATGTCACGGATGTGACTACGAAAGTTCGCTACCTCGTCGACACTGGCGCAGAAGTTAGCGTTCTTCCAGCAAATCCCGACGACAGACTTCGCGAGTCTGTTTTAAGTTTACAGGCGGCAAACGGTAAGCCGATCGCTACTTACGGTAAAAGGTACGTCTACCTTAACGTGGGTTTACGCAAACCCATACACTGGATTTTCGTGGTTGCAGATGTCTCTATGCCAATCATTGGTATAGACCTGTTACAACACCACAATCTACTCATCGACACACGCTCACGAAGGTTAATAGACGGAAACATTGAGTTATCCGTTTGCGTAACTCCTTGTTCCGGTTGCAGGTTATCCCCAGTCACGATTAAGCACACCATAGACCCCTTGTACCTATCAGTACTCGACAAATACCCCGGGATATACCAATCGCAATCGAAATTGTCGTGTGTAACCAGCAATGTTACACATCACATCTCGACTATAGGACCACTTGTATTTTCGAAAGCTTGAAGACTCGCTCCCGAGAAGCTTAGGTAAGCCAAAAACGAATTCGACCACATGATGGACCTAGGGATAATTCAACCATCGAATAGTCCATGGGCATCCCCATTGCACATGGTCCCTAAAAAGGACAGCAATGATTGGCGGCCAACTGGTGATTATCGGCGTCTGAATGCTAAAACCATTCCCGATCGTTACCTGCTGCCTCATATTCACGATTTGACAGCTACCTTGAAAGGTACAACTGTCTTTTCGAAAGTCGACTTGGTTAAAGCTTATAACCAAATCACGATGGCACCTGACGACATTCCTAAAACCGCCATCATCACTCCCTTCGGTCTTTACGAATTTCTACGAATGCCTTTTGGTTTAAGAAATGCGGCTCAAACCTTTCAAAGGTTTATAGACGACGTCTTCCGAGGTCTCAACTTCGTACATGCGTATGTTGATGTCTGTCTAATAGCAAGTCCGGACAGAGAATCACATCTCAAGCATCTGGACATTGTTTTCGATCGACTCCAAAGGCATGGCATTACTGTCAACATTCAGAAATGCAAAATCGGAACTAACTGCTTAGACTTCTTAGGACACACTATTAATGCCCAAGGCATCCGACCCCTTAGGAGCAAAGTGGCGGCCATTCTGGATTACCCAGAACCGACCACGATCAAGCAGTTACGAACTTTTAACGGACTCGTAAGTTTCTATAGACGGTTCATACCCAAATACGCATCCCTAATGAAACCGTTAACCGATCAGCTTCGTGGAAATGCGAAATCAATTAGTTTAGACAACATAGCCCGTAAAGCATTCTCCACAGTTAAGGAACACATCGCTAAAGCAACCCTGCTTGCTCATCAGGACACTCAAGCGCCCATTAGTATCGCAGTGGACGCATCCGACTCAGCAATCGGAGCAGTCTTACAACAATGGGTTAACAACTCTTGGCAACCTTTAGGATTTTTCTCCAGACGGTTGTTAGACGCGGAATCTAGGTACAGCACGTTCGGTAGGGAACTCCTAGCTATGTATTGTGCTGTACGGCATTTTCAACATTCCATCGAAGGAAGAGAATTCACGCTTTTTACCGGTCACAAACCTCTTACCTTCTCTTTAAGTTCATCTTCAGACAAGTACTCACCGCGAGAGTCTCGACAACTCGATTACATTTCGCAGTTTACTTCAGACATACAACATATTTCTGGAGCAAACAATGTAGTCGCAGACGCCTTGTCTCGAATTAGCTCCTTGAACAGTTTCCAAGGAATCGACCTTCTTAAACTCGCTCAGCTTCAAAAAGAAGACATTGATCTTCAGCATGAGTTATCCTCGATAACTCTTAAACTAAGTATTAGGCAGATGGGAACAGGTAAGGAAACCTTACTCTGTGACACATCTACAGGTAGCGATCGTCCAATTGTACCAAAACATTATCGCCGCAACGTCTTCAATACGTTGCACAATCTTTCTCATCCAGGTGCTCGTGCAACAATCGAACTTATAGCCGAACGCTTTTGCTGGCCTGGCATGAATAAAGACGATGGCCAGAAGCAGTACCGATTAAGGACATTACTGCTGAAACCGTGGCCCGCGCTTTCGTCGAACGATGGGTAGCAAGTTTCGGCTGCCCTTCCACAATCACTACAGACCGCGGACGCCAGTTCGAATCTGGACTTTTCCGTTGTCTAACCTCACTCTTAGGAATCACGCGCTTCCGAACGACCGCCTACCACCCACAAGCAAACGGGTTGGTAGAACGTTTTCATAGACAACTAAAAGCCTCATTATCAGCTTCAAACGTTTCACAGTGGACAGACGCTCTTCCACTCGTCTTGCTAGGTATCCGCAATGCAGTGAAAGCTGACATTGGATACACGGCATCTCAACTCGTTTACGGAACGACACTCCGACTCCCAGGAGAATTCGTGGATCCTTCAGTTTCTTCATTGAACATGGATCTAAACTCTTACACGAGTAGGCTTACAAACGCTATGCGTTCAGTTAAACCTGCTCACACTCGACCTCAATCAACTGATGTTTTCGTTCAACCCGAATTACGACATAGTATACACGTCTTCGTTCGTCGAGACTCACATCGACGACCCTTCGAATCAGCATACGAAGGACCCTTCAAAGTTCTTCAACGCGAACCTAAGTATTATGTAGTCGATAAGAACGGTACGAACGATGGCATCAGTATCGATCGACTCAAAGCATCGTACTTAGAAGGAAACCCTAGCTACGTCGGTTTTCCTTCGGTACAAACAAACGACACAGCTACTACACTCGTAGTACCCTACACGACAACCGACACACAACTTGATACTTCGTCAACGTCGATAGAAAAACCTAAAACAACGCGTTCTGGAAGACGAGTAAGATTTCCAGAACATCTTAACGAATATTGCACGTAGGACATAAGCTTTATCTTGAATTACCTTTTCATAGTTAATTATAAATTTTTTTTAATATGCTCATTTTTTTATTTATATAAAAAAAAACAAAAAAACAAAACATTTTTATTTTTTTGAGCGTATATATATATTTATATATATATAAAAAAAACCAAAAGAAAATCATTTTTTCCGATCGCTTTTACGCTGTTTGTAAGTGTATTAGTTTATTTTTTCCGCTCATCTTGTGTCCTTACGCAAGTACGAGTGTATTTTCCACATGCACTCACACGTTTTATTTTTCCTCTTTTCCAGAACAGCTGGAAAAGAACGACGAAGTTTCGCAAGGAACCGAAATTTTCATTGTACTATATTTCTTTATTGCTATGTTGTACATTTTGGTCCCATAGTTTAAGGAAAGACGACCAGACGCTGCTAAACGAAGCAAGCTATCAGAAGAGTGTTTACCAACGACAAACTCGTTGGGTTTAAACTTCTGGCTGGTCACGTCTTAGGGGCATCACTACCTCACTAGTGGGGGAGTGATCTGTAGCTGTAAATAATTCCCCAAAATCAATAGCTCATTAAGTGTTCGACATTGGATGCTGACCACGTGTTTAAGTGGACTTGTTTAGCTGAAGGCTTTCGGTCATGCATCCGCACCAGATCACGTTTCAACACGGCGTGGGACACAGCTCCTACGTTTCATTAGCCAGCTCATAGAAAAGGTCCTCGATATATTGGTAAGGAATCAAATATATCTTTCCTGCCTCTTCTCGTCTGACTTCTGATTTCTATCTGACTGGGAACAATCGAATATAGAAGGTGCTACTGGTATCAAGTTGTAAAACTAGAACATCCGTTGCATCCTCCAGGGCTTACAATTGTCCTGAGGAAATTGTCTGAATGTTCTAGAACTTGGTAGTTGTCGAAAAATGCTTCCAAGTGCATTATGGTGCATATTGGTCACCAAGGTACAGATACATTCTTGGTGAACGACAGTGAGTCTCCTGTTGTCCAGTCATACAGTGACTCTGGAGTTATCGTGAGTCAAGACTTGGAAACTACTGCTCACTGCCGTGTGTGTTAAGTGAGATAATTAGGAGATAACTACTGAAAGAACTAGTACAGTCCAGTTAGCTTCCTCTTCTTCCAAAGCTGATCAGAATTGGTACAGTCAAGTGGCTGGACTACCATCAATTAAACGCCTCCAAATCATTTATATCGTACCTAGACAACAAAAAGTGAGCTCAAAGAAATTAGGCAGTTTATATAAGCTCGTTTCAAGGATTTTGGATATATTGGATATCGGATGACGCTGAAGGTGTTGTGCCTTTTCAAATGTCCAGCGTCCACAGTAACAGGATGACAACGTCATGGTTTCCTTTCCACTTACCGAACTTGACGAATAAGTGTGAACAAAATTGCGGCGAAAATCTACGACTAGAAGTTAAGCATCTTGAATGTTATTTCACAGAGAATGTTTGCTAACTTTAAAATAGACAAATCTCGAATAACTGTTTTCAGGATACGTGTGATATTGAATACAATTTGTTTGTTTTTGCCTTCGAAAACTCCAGCAAAACGGTGTTAAGTAACATATGGGACTTTGGAAAGCTGGAGAAAGAAGATAAGAAGAATGGATGTGTGAGATTTCTCTTGAGACAGGTAGACTGTTTGCCTTAAGTTGAATTCTATTTCGAGACGCTTTATTTTCGTTCATCGGGGGTACTACAGTCAACATTTTTCGTGTTTGTGCTAACAAAATGCAACTCTTCGAAGTCAACTGATAAGTCGGAAATCGGATGGTGTTCAGTCAAAATTAATGAAGTTATACGTAGCCCATCCAAATCATCTTCGTGTAGTTTGCCTTTCTTGAAAGGATCATGTCGTCTATTGTGCCTTCCATTCGAAGGTAACCTAAGTTTTTCTAATCATATATAACGTTTTTACAGCTTACAACACATTGCTGGCGACTAACGAGAATCACTGTATTTATTATTCATTGGATTTACTCAAAGAACTAGAGAACTATTCATACTTGATCCCGGTAAACAGATTTGTTTCCACGCTGAGTTGCATCCCTGGACTAAATACAAATAATGATTTGGATACCTTGAATATTGGGAGTTTTGTAAAAATTTTCGTCAAAGATATATCAATTACTAGTAATTCTTCCCAGATAGCAGATTTTGAAAGCTATTTGTGCTCGACTGTTTCAGATGACTTAGCTGTTACTTCTAATCAACATGGAATATCTTCACCAGTCAGAATGCAGGTTTACGAGAGAAGAGTAAAGGTTGTTATCATTGTTGCTATTATTTCGACCGTTAAATCTTTCTCATTATCTGTAAGAAACAAACACACTAGAAATTCAACTGTGACATATATTGCTTTTCTCAAATTTGGAGTTCAGTTCCTTTATGCCATTTTTAAGTAACATTTCAATTGTATCAGGTTTATTAGTAAAATATATTTAATTTGGAAGTTGACCAATCATACGTTTATGAACATTCAGCACTGTGTTCATTTCATTGTGAGATAATTAGTCAATAAAACTAATAAACATAACGGTAAAGACGTTTTTGCAATGGCTAACAACAGACAAAGTTTGTGACATGGCTCCGAATTCATCTATCTAGAAATATAAACCGGATATCTCTGAAACACAAAAAAGTGAATTTGGAAAACTAATTCAGACGTCCGTGCACGATATCAGGGTCTGCCTTGCTTTTAGACAGTTTAGATTTGCTGCTGAAGTGAATCAGTATTGGGTTTTTATTTTACTAATAACAAAAAGCCAAGATGATGCTGGTATTTACTAATAAACATCAGGACTCTTAACAGTATTTATCGTTGTCGTTTTAAACTTTCCAGACTTTCTTACACAACCGTTTTACTGTGGTTCAACCTGAGCCAGTGATTTACTTGGACAAAGTCATTGAGTCGGAGAGGGAATCGTCTTCAGGGAGAAAATCATCAGCAACTTTGGTCGGTAAAACAGTAAGGATCTCGCATTCCAATGTTGGTTCTGAGTCATCGTCGAAAGAATACCTCATAGCACGCAATGATGCAGAGTTGCTTGTACCACAGAACCCTGGATGCGCAGTTGTGTTTGTCCTGGAATATATTTTATCCGAGGTAAACTATTTTAGTTGTGTTCTTGGTAAATAACATAACATACATATTTCATAGTCATATTGGACAGTACAAACACTCAAAATGATATCATCACGAAAATATGCACCATCGGTCAAACGTGATGCCCTCAGTAGCGTCGTAAAACACATGTCAATGGGATCATTGATTTCATTACTTTGATATGGCAACGTTATGTTGTGTGAAATGAAGTTGAACCTCGGTAGCTCGAAAACTAGCCAGAATATTACTGCAGCAGTGACTACTTGCTTATTTCATTAAGGTGATTATGGTTTATACATAGGTTTATGTAGGTATTCAACATTTTTACTATCTGTTCTCCAATTTTATGAACTAATAATGTATAAAAACCTACCAGTATATTTCATTTGAATGCACGTGTTGTGATAACAAATAGTTAACAAACCTATTGCTTTTAAACAACACTTTGATGCAAATTCAGTGAAAAACTGAGAGTAGTTTGGTGATCACAGTGACAAACTCTAATACAAAGTATACAGCTCTTGGAACGATAGTCTGATATTTATGGTTATCATGAAGAAATTGAAAACGTACAAATCGTATAAAGTACTTATCATCCTATGAGAACCATCTGTTGAATAACGCGGCGTTATCAAAATACATGGTATTATTTCGCAAAAATATAAAACGGGATAATTTTCTTGAAATAGAGCTAAGAAAAGTTGTACTGGATCTATTTTAGTAAACTGCCGAGTACATTCCTGCCCAAAATGAATTGTAGTTGATTCATCAACAGATACTGAATTTGATTTAAAACTGCGTAGTTTACAATTGTGTTCTTTTGTATCCTCAACTTTCTACTGTGACGAAACCACTTAAAGTGTTTAATTTTGCATCTTATCTAATTTTACATAACTTTATTGTAAAATACTACCGTAAAAGGGGTATCTAGTCCATTATTAAATTACTTTTGCATTGTTTGTTCTATATTTGACTTATACTTGTCCACGTAGTTGAAGGCTAATGTAAAATCGGAACCGTCGACGATATAATTTGTCAAAAACGCTTTTGTTGAGAGGTGGTTGGGTTATACACAGTAAAGTTAGGCAACTACTTTTCATGGTAAGCAGAGATGGTTAGTGGCTAGCAGTGGAATCCAGGACGCGCGTTTCGTCCTATTTGGGACTCGTCAGCTGGATGTACCTGCATCTCAGGGTTGACGTTCACTCTGGGACTCGAACCCAATACCCTCGCCTTAAACGCCATCGCGTTATCCACTCGGCCACTGAGTCCTGATAGAGACCGACCAGTTGCAGTCCTAAACACATCGATGGGAAGATCCAAACAAACAATACTAAGTGAATTCAAACTACTTTTCATGTTTCAAGAGAAGTCTTCATAGGGCGTTGAAGTAAATTATTGAGCATTACAGATAGCGATAAATGCTTCGTCAAGGTCATCCATTACTTTATTCTGTTCACAATTAACATGACAATTACTTTTGATTTATAGCAACAGTTTAAAAAAATATTTCACACCAAAACTATGTACTAAATTTATATATATATATATATATATATATATATATATATATATATATATATATATATATATATATATATAGTGTGCTACAGTATTTTTGAAATGAAAGTATCAGTAATTGTGCGAAAGATTATCCTAGCTTTTTGTGGTAAATATTGAAGAATTCATCCGCCTATTGCTCTTTTTAATTGATTAAATAGAGAAATAAATCCTCCGTTTGTTGAAGATTTTGTAGGGTTTTAAATCAACAGTGTAAAATCAACTTCTATCTTTTTACCATATTGTCAAGTTAAAAGAAGCTGACATTCATCAATCATCGCTGCTTGCTGTTCTCTACAAAAACAGGAACCATAACATCAAAGTGAATTGACAGAAGAGTAAAATAATACCGGCTTGATTAAAAACTCAAGACGGTGAATTCTGTGGATTTTGCCTGAGACATACTATTGCCTTCTTTTACTCTAATGCTCTACTAATCATAGCTACTGAAGGAGTGTTTTCATAACATTTTCATAACTGAATATACCACACGGATGCTTAAATCTGTGTTAGTGAATTGTACTTGAAACTACAACTAACATTTTAGAATCTGGTTTATTTATTCACAAAAGGATTGCTACGCAAAAAATATCACCAGTTTTGTTGATCCAAAAATCAACTTGTGAGCCTTGCAATTATCCAAATTACTTAGATAAGCAATCTTTTTTCCAAATAAACATGAGATCCGAAATGTATGTATTTTCAGCTCTACCACATGAAAATCGTGTCAAAAGAGGAAGTAATTTTAATGGAACCACACAAATATACTATTTGAGTTCAAGTATTCAGCTGAAAAATGTTTATCAAAGGTTATAAAAGATTGTTTACAACTTCAGATACATTACTCTGTTATGTTGAATGAAGCTAAAGAGGGTCAGCATTTGAAAACGGAATTCCCTAGGATTTTGTTCCTGATTGACAGTTGTATTTTTTCCATTGTACCAAATAGTCTGAACTTCAAGGTATATTCCTACTTATTCATGATATTTTAACTTCTTGTTGGGAAATCCATTGATTATTTCCAGTAAATGATGTGTTACTAATTCGCTTGTTTAGTTGCAACTTAATTGCTAGTAGATCATCTTGAATATGTTTCTATTGACTAGTTTCATGTGCTGACTAGACTGTTCATAATTGTTTCAGATTAACTGACTGAATTGTGTTGTTCAAATTGGAAGTACTTGGAAATCTGTCAGGCTTTCAGTTATATTTACCTATGAATACTAATAACTTTTTGAATAAAGTTTTGTTTACACATTTGTATAAGGATATTGTCTACCTTAGTTTGAGTGTTTTATAAGTTTCTGTGATTTGTGAAAAATATCTAGTGTTCATATGTTGTGTGTAGTAGGACGGTCTTGGTTAATGATAAATGTTTGTCGTAAATTCGTGATGTATTTCAAGCTCTATAAATAAATAAAACAAATGAAATTATGCAATCTCAAAAATTTTGGTAAATCTGCGTGGCAGAAATTCAAATGACGTTTTCAGAAACTTCGTGTTGATTGTCGAACTACTGACTAGTATTTTGAATGCACTTTAAAAATGATTTCCCTTCTTTTTGCTTTACATTTAGATAAATTCACCGACACCAAAAACGTTTCATTGTACAGTAAGATGGGCGATATATCCACTTCAAGATAACATAGGAATATTGAATAATGCCGGGAATAACTCAGTAAATTTAAATTTACCACTTCAAGGCAGTGTACGACCAAGTACAGCAAATGATTCAAATATTGGCCTTTCATCGTCACCATCATTATCTATCAATACAAATAAGATACGGATTTCAGATGCTGACGATTATGAGAAATGCCTGCTGAGAACAGTATGTCCAGATGGAGGTTTGTGTTTCACGAATAATGTTCGTTCAACAATGGAATTAACTTTGAATTGCACAATATCTGCTGGAATACCAAAAGCGATGGTAAAAGTGCTGTGCTGAAAGTATTTTAACAACTTAAGTTTATTTTCTAGGTATTCGTGGTTGTTCATCTTGAGTTTACATTAAAGTGTTACCCTTATCATAAAAATCCTGTCGTTGATTTTAAAGTGCCTGGTTGTCACTGGTATACTTTCATCTGGTTTGTATTTTTCAACAAACTGAGTGGTTTTCAGATTAAATAATGATGAATAAAACCTGCTGAAAGACCTCATGACATTTTTTGAAAGTGTGTAAAAGTAGTTAGTCTGCTTTGTACTTACATTATACTTTAAAAAACTGCGAATTGTTATTATGGTTCCTTGGAGATGGCTATTTCCCAAGTTAAATTAATTCACAGACCGACTGTTTAGTATCAAGGGTGTGAGTGGGAAAGATATGTTAACTCGAAGCCTCTTCATTGTAACGTAGATCTATACTGCTATCACTATAACTTCAGCTTTGTCATTTTTCGGAAGTTGTGTTGGAATTAAAATCAGAATCTTATCCGAGTTGAGTCAATGAGATTATTGAAGATTGATATTAGTTGTTCTGTGACAATTATTTCCTGAGATTAGAACTCTGACACCAGTTCACATTTTGCAGAAAAGATATTCTAAACTAACATGTGTCTATACATATTCATGAGACGTATTTCTCCTAATAAGTTATTTGCAAGATCGACGTCATGAAAACTAACAATGGCCTTTCAAGAAACAGTCCCATTTACTGCCAAACGACCCCTCCTTCATATCAATCTGGGATTAAAAAACACGTAATTTAGTCCTAAACTATCACAGGTACCAACAATCAATGTATGTAGGGACTTTGTCAGTGATTAAAAGTAGTGAATAAGAATATCTAAAGCGTAAAATGCAAGGTATATTACGAAGGTAAATTGTATATTCCATACCTTTAAGCCTACATTACTGATTTCCAATTTGAAAGTTAGATTTTCTGTTAGCTATTACGTAGAATGAAATTTTATAGTTGAATTCATGAGTCGATTGAAGCAAGACCGCCATGGAAAACCTAGAAGTACTGGACAGCCGTTTAGTCCTAGCGGGAGACTTCTCAGAAGTGCGCACTCACGAACCCACCCCGCGAGATTCTAATCCAGGACCTAGCGGTCTTGTGGGAGAACGCTTAACCTCTAGACCACTGAACCGGCATCCAATGGTGTTAATATTTTAATCCAACCAATCTACGAAATTGAGCAACCGTCTCAAGAATTGAACTACATAATTACTAAAATCTCCACTAAGCCTCTTCTGATAGGAATGAAACTATTTTGCATTCAATATGTAATGTTTTACATAGATCAGGAGGAAACGGTTTATCATTATTTAAAAGTGTATTATGATGTGCTTTGTTTTAGTTTATCAAACAATACTTAATGAAATCGATGGGGCTAGTTATGACATTTATCTTTTTGGTTTTTTAAGAGTAAAAACGCTGTTGTTGAAGATCCTGCCCTTATAGCAAGGATGCCCGTACCAGATTATTTCATTCCCGAAACGGGACATCAGTTTTCAGGAAGGTAAGAACATTTTAATTTGAACAAGCTAGATAAATATATGTTGTATAGGATATTTTTCACTTTGGTTTATTGCTTGTTATTATGATTTGCAATTCATGATGTATTGAGAAAATTAATTGCTTCCATATGTTCGCAACCTACGTGACGGACATTATTCATCATTTTGTAGTAGAACGTGATGTTAGACGTTATCTATTACCTGAAGTCTATTTAAGACCTAAATCATTCGCCAGTGGTATAGTTTTTCAATGCAGAAGTATTTGGTGGTAAACTTTTTCCTGGATGTTGGCTAGAGAATTTGAAATCAAGGACAAAAACGACTTACAACACAGTTGAAACTTTTATGTCCGCATGACCACTGTAGTGGGATTCATAAAAGTCTACTTTTGGACTATTGCGTTTTGTGGACAAATTATCCTGATAAGACGAAACCATTGTTTGGTTATCCTTAGTTTTCAACGGTTCTCGATATGATGTCTGTTCAGTGAAGAGGGATAACTTTGAATTGAGCATCCATAGAAAACATCTTATCCCGATGATACTAATGATGTTCTCACCAGTGACCATTTTTGAGATAAATCCTTTCATTCTTAATGACCCTCATAACAAATGGAGTTTACGCATATCATCAGTGTGAAAAATACCACCTCCGGGATGGAACAATTGTTGTTCGATAATGCGAATTGAATGTAGGCGGAAATATATTATAGTTGAAAGCATGAGTCAATTGAAGCTAGACCACCATGGAAAATCTGGAAGCATTGGACGGCCGTTTCGTCCTATTATGGGACTCCTCAGCAGTGCGCATCCACGATCCCGCAAACACGAGATTCGAACCCAGGACCTACCAGTCTCGAGCCAGAGCCTTTAACCGATAGAGGAGTCCCATAATAGGACGAAACGGCCGTCCAGTGCTTCCAGATTTTCCATGGTGGTCTAGCTTCAATTGACTCACGCTTTCAACTATGAAAATACTGAATCTCCACAAAACCCCTTCTGATAAGGAAATATATTAGTTAATTGTTTCTGAATGATTTTTTTTTGTTTGATACTAGTAGAGTCATTTAGGCTCACCTATGAATGATTTCTAAGTAATTTAAGACAACTGTCCAAGTTCATTTGCTTCTCAGTGATTTGACAGCTGAACGCAGTACGTTAAAAATTAACCATCTAAAAATATTTTCATAGTTTCCTCAAACTACTCAGTTGATCAAATAAGTTGTTGAAAGAAAGATAGTGGGATAACATAATCCTTTATTGCTCAATTTTCTGTGATCTGAATACGGTATTTTCATCTCGATTTTACTTATTTGAATAAAATTTTATGTGGAAATTATTTCTTTAGAAGTAAAATCATGTTCAGGTGAGTTGGATTGTGCTGTTGCTTTGAAAATATAGTAAACCACCATAAATTATTGTTGCCTTCACTTTATTGTTTTTTGATAGCTTTTATAAAGCAAATATATGTAAATTGTATGTGCTGACTTATACTTTTCTCAGTGACAATGTCTATGAAATGTTTTATGATGATAAATATCAGTTGTAGCTTAAAAGATTGGAAGAGGATTACTCTGATCATAAATATATAAGTAATGAAATTTCAAGTGTCAAAGCTTTCATTGAATGATGAATGTAAAGATATCTTGAATTCGTCATTTCCCGTCTGATTGAGGATCCAAATAAAATGAACTTCACTGTATTTTATTGATCGAATTGTCTCACTTGATGAATGAACATACTCTGGAGAGAGGGGTTGTGCAACGAATCTTCAAGTCGTATAATAGCCGACATTTCTACACTAACGAGTTTAAGATGGCATAGACTTTATAGTTTAACAGTGACTGGTAAATATCCAGCTAATATTTTAATCACAAGGGGGGTTTTTGTGGAGATTTAGTAATTTTATAGTTAAGATCATGAATCTCCACAAAAACCCCCCTTGTGATAATGATCATATGCTCACTAGGGACTGGCTTCTTGAGGTAATTCCTGGAGTTCTAGTGAGAAGTCGTGGCCAGTGGAGCTAATCCATGTCAGGTAGAGACAGGTATCTACCTCAGTACATTGGAAGTTGGTTGCGCAATTTCGTGGATTGGTTGAGGTTAGACATTAACACCGTTGGATGCCAGCTCAGTGGTCTATCGGTTAAGGGCTCCGGCTCGAGACTGGTAGGTCCTGGGTTCGAATCTCGCGATAGCGGGTTCGTGGATGCGCACCGCTGAGGAGTCCCATAATAGGACGAAACGGCCGTCCAGTGCTTCCAGGTTTTCGATGGTGGTCTAGCCTCAATTGACTCATGATCTTAACTATAATATTTTAATGTTTATCATGTGTAGTGATCATTAGTTTCAGTAATTTCAGTACCGATCTCAATGGATGCTATTTGCTAGTGAAGAATCAAGTTTGGAGAAAGCTAATGGCTGCCACATGACGTCATGAAATTGGTGTGTAAAATTATTGACTACTGATCTGAGGCGTATTGAAAGATGTGTGCTATTTGGTTTAGGTCCACTTAGGAACCGTAATCAATGGTTGGAGACGTTGGACAAAATGTATTAAAGCGGTTAATTGTCACGCAGATGTATTCACTTTTAATCTTCTATAGATTTGGAATTCAAGTGTTTTCTGATGCACGCTTTTTGTTTGTCATTCTTGAATCATATTATCAATATTCAATCACTCTCACTCTCAATGCAACTACGCTGTTCAGTCTCATCTGTTATTCATCCAGCTAATTTAATCTCAACATGCTGATAAGGTATGATAACTTATGGGAATATGCATTTGTATCAGGCTCTAACTTCATTGTGTCTAGCTGACTGACTAACTGAATAAAGTTCTTAATTTGTCTCTTTCTAACGGAATCCAGCTAGCTTTCATAGTTGAATTCATGAAATATGAATCATTTAAAGTCACATTATTACAGACTGTTTTAAAATCCTCCAACTCACGTTTATTCAGCTGAAAGATCATGTCTATATTATTATGACTCAATAACCTATTATCACTTCGATTACCACAGTCGTCGGGTTCGATACACTTTTCATATGTATAAAAACCATACGATATTATGATAATGTAAGTCAATTGTGATTCAATGGTCGTAAATTTTGTTTGAATTGAGTAGTAAGGAGTCGAATTTGTACATTCAAAAAAATGTTAAGGTACTTCGTAAAATGGAATGTATGTAGTATATGTCAGCATTTTTTTTATGTCCATATAGTCTTATAGTTGAAAAGACTTCCAATAACACTTCTTTCAACATAAGAAATTTGTTTAGTTTCAATCGGCTTTTATTCCATCATTATATTGGTTTTTGCTTAAAGTGTTTATAAGCTAGTTGAAAGCATGAGTCAATTGAAGCTAAACCACCAAGGAAAACCTGGAAGCACTAGACGGCCGTTTTGTCCTATTGTTGGACTCCAGGTTTTCCTTGGTGGTCTAGCTTCAATTGACTCATGCTTTCAACTATGAAAATACTAAATCTCCACACAAACCCTTTCTGATAATTAATATAATCATATGCTCACTAGTGACTGACTTCGAGAAGTACATCCAGGAGTTCTAGTGAGAAGCAGTGACCAGTAGAGTTCAAACCACGTCTGTCGTGAGATAGGAACTCACTGAAGTTAATTGGTGAACGGTTGTTCAACTTCATGGATTGGTTGAAGTTAGACATTAACACCGTTGGATGCCGGCTCAGTGGTCAATCGGCTAAGTTCTCTGGCGCGAGACTGGTAAGTCCTAGGTTCGAATCTCGCGAGGCGAGATGGTGGATGCGCACTGCTGCTTTCCAAGGCTTTTGATGGTGGTCTAGCTTCAATTGACTCATGCTTTCAACTATGCAAATACTGAAATATCCACACAAACCCCTTCTGTTTATAAGATAATCATAACATTGAGATATAACTTTTTATTTATTATATTACACATACAGACAAGCACATATAATCTTATTGAGTAATACTCAGTCACATAAATATGTTTATTCCGTACATCAGTTGACTATGATAAGCCTTAAAACAGATAAATTCATAGCAAGATTTCCACAGTTGAGAAACCGGTTGTCAGGTGGTTTAAGCACGTTTATGATCTTAAGTGCAGTATTGAATGGATTTTGATATGATGTCTGAATCTTGAGATTTATTTCAATGAATTTAACCACCTTGAAAGCAGTTCCATTGAATCATAGATCCTAATTAAATAGGGATAATATCTCCCTATTTGTTAGTTTTAATCTACACAAGTATTTCAGAATGCAAACCGCAACATAATTAAATCAAATGACTAATTTACACGGGCTTCCTGTGTTATTCATTCTCTATTTCGATGTTTGTTTTCATTCAGAAACTGTATTGTTTCTACTAGAAACAGCATAAATTCTTGTAACAAAAGACCAGCCGCTTAGTTTTGTTTACAATAATACATAGCGGTTTAAGCTATTTTACCGTGGACTTTGTTGAGTTGTTTACATATCTCGCTAAGTTAATCCTTGTCGTAATGTAAGAGATTAAGTTCTGGTTTTTTTGATTGCAGGAATTTACTAGAAATGATGGTGTGTTTTGATATTCACCCACCGAATATAGTGACAAGTTTTGCTGATTGAACGCTATACTCGGATCCTAAGCTAGTCTCGTAACCCCCAAGCTAGAACTACACAGCGACTTGAACACGAGAGAAAAAGCGCAAAATATGCAAGAAGCATTTTACTCCAAAGGTTCATTTATGTTCAGAAAATATAGGTTTTTTATAGTATTTTAGAAGTCCTTGAGTTTTCTTAAAAAATCTAGAATGCTACTGAACATAGTAGCAGTGTAGTAATCAGTCAATCAGAAACTCTACATATGACTGTTTATTTTCGTGATGTTTCTAGCAAAACGTCTAGTCAAAGGCTGATTGGATAAAATGCTTTTTAATGTTTCCTGAGCTTGTCATTTTTATTGAGAGAAGTTTTCGGGATCGCCCTAACATATAGTGTTCTATAAATTTTGGCGGAAATTCAACAAGCTTACTACATTGAACAATCACTTTTCGTCCAAGTTTCTTCGCGACACAGATTTGTGATATAAACGCATACAAAGTATTATTTCGGTGGATGGAAAGGATTTTACAACAACAGATCTATAAACAGTTAAATAGATTATCATGATACTGACAGTCTTTCCAAATCTTCTCAACCTATAGATTGATACGTAAACTAACAAGAAAATCGAATGTCATCAGTTGTCTTGATTGTTTTAATCATTTTGTTTGAAATCGTGTTGTTTGTAGTTGAATACATTTCCTCATTCACATCGACAGTCTGCAGATTTACAACATGACTTTATCTAAACCAAAATTTCCCAAACACCTAACATTGAAATTAAAGTGAAAGTATGTATTTTCAGCGTGAAGAAGAAGCGAATATGGATGCCAGTAATTTACACATTTGTTCAGATTACTGCATGCAATTCGTCTCAATTGATATTTAATTTCAGCTTCTATTCTGTATGTTAAATTTTTATTTTTCTTCAATAGAGAATCAATCACTACATCGGAGTCTCGAGCAGTTGCTGCTATTCCGAGAAAGAAAAAGATGCAACCAGTTCGACGGAAGTCCTCATCAAAGTTCATGAACAAAAATGATTTAGTCGATGATACTAAACAGTTTGAGGATATGAATGAGATGAATACAAAGTTATTATCAGTTCCAATCCAAGCACAGTTTAACTTATATACTCAACTACTACAACAACAATATCGACAACAACAGCGGATAGAACTTTTCAACCCAGGCAGTGGATTTCTAAATCATGGAATGATAGTTGGTCCTTACTTGGGTGGAATTGGACCAACAATGTACGAACCGATTGAAGCAACCTCCTCACCTGTCATTGGACCGTTTTTGAATCGAAATCCGAATGATTCTTTATTTCTTTTAGATAACATTCATCATGGTGTTGGATTAAGTCGAGCAGCTTATGCTAAAATTTATTCAGCAGGTTAAATGCAAAAGATTATATTTTTCTAAAATTAGTATCTCAACCAATTGTTAATTGGTTATGGCAACTTTATTCGGAAATCCTAATAGGTTTAGACAATGACTTGAATCAGTTCTATGTACACTGTTCATGTTTGCATCTGAAATTCTAACTATATGAAACTGAGATTTACATGAATCCAGAGAAATGTTTCAGTAAAAGGTTTAATTGACATTTTTTTTAAACGAAGTACCTTAACGTGAGTGGATTTACGTCCATACAGCTTTCTGATCTCTGATAGATCGAGGCAATTATTTTAGATCCAATTGACATACCCTACGTGCAGTAGATTCGAATTATTTGTAAAGTAGTTATTCAGGTCAACTGTCATAATATAAACCACTGTATGTAATGTTCTGCGGGAGTTACATACGCATTGTGAAAGATGAGTTACCATTTTAGCTCTCTATATTCTATCAGATGATTGTGATTATAGAAATATAATATTCGTTTGACGCTAAAACACTGAAGTCCAAGAAACAATAGGTAGCGGTTCTGTCCACCAGTAAAGCTGTCCTGAATTGCACACACCCACGATTCCACATAAGACGTATTTCAGGACTAAAATGTTTTGCGGTGTGTACAATAAAATTGGGTATATGAGATAGAACTCAGTGTTTCATATTTCTTACTCATGTTGAACGACGATATCAGGGAACGAAAACCGATGAAAGTATGTTTTAGTTAGATTACAAAAATAAAATTGAGATAACCGCTTCATGTATGACCATATGGTTTTGAATGAACAATTATTTCCTAATGTATGATCGTTAACAAAATGACTATAGCTTGAGATTAGTAGTTTAAGCGTTCAGGTAAACGTTATATGTTTAATTTCACAATTACCGTATATCCGCATCCAGCTGAGAGATCAACTGATAATATCACCTTCATGATTATCTGTTTTGAATCATATCCGTCAAGTGACCAGATATCCCTCACACGTCCTATCAGTAAACCATTTGAATCTCACTATTTTTTCTTTAAACTTCGGACCATTATGGTATTTTCTTTATGAAAATTTTAAGCCCTTTAGCATTTGTTGTCGTTAGCTTTAGTGACTGATGTTGTTGGATAGAAACGCTTCTTCACGAATATTTCCTTGTTTCGTCTTCAGATATACATCAGTTGCATAGTGTCAATAGTCAGATGTAGATCTCAGTTACTCATTCCAATAAATTTCAGTTGATTTTTCTGTAAACAAAACGAACAGTTTTATAAATTTTTTTGTTTCCAAAAAATAGGTTTTGAACCAATTAAAACAGAAAGTGGTGATCCACCATTCACAATTGATCCACAAACTGATACAATAGATGAATTTAAATTTGTCAAAGAAGAAGTTGATCTATTAAATCAAAATGAAATTATTTTTCAATTTCTAGCTTATTCTGGGTAATTTTGATTTAAATTCAACTTCGCATTGTTTGTTTGAATCTTCCCATTGATTTTTAGGATTGCAACTGGTCAGTCTCTTATTGGCATATGTGCATACTGTGCGTATTTCCTCGATATAGCCTTAATTCACAAGCATGGTAAGCAAAGATGGATAGTGGCTAGTACTGAAAACCAGGACGCGCGTTTCGTCCTATTTGGGACTCGTCAACTGAATGTACCTGCATCTCAGAGTTGATGTTCACTTTGGGACTCGAACCCAGTGCCTTTCGCTTCAAATGCCATCGAGTTATTCACTCGGCCACTGAGTCCTGATAGCCACTTGTTTGTTCAAGTGATTTAAATTATAAATAAGTTGAACAATCATTACATTTTTCATTTTAAGTTAATTTTATAAGAGAGAAATTGTATGAACAGAGTTCAATCTAATACATCATAGAATGTATCATACAACAAACTTTTGACTATGATTTGTATAAAACTGGGATGAACGTAAACTCCTGAGTCAGGAAGGTCTTGAATGGAATCTGAATGATGCAGCTTGAATGGGAATTTTTACTATTCACGATTTATGGGTAGCGTTCGATTCGATTTACCAACTGTTTACTTGGTGACTGTGAAAAAGCGAATGAGATTTTTTTTTATTAAGTAGCATTATATCTCTGGAGATTAATTTCGGAACTGTATGATCTTAAAAACCCTTATTAGTCGGTTAATGGGACGCACGGTTTGTTGAATAATGAAGGACACATATTCTCAACTATTTGTTGATCGTAATTACGAAGGTTAAGATTATCAACTACAACAACCTATTTCTTAGTTAATTAGACGTACTAAAAAATTAATTGAGCAATATTTAAATGGTTACATAATGTCAATTCGTCCTTACCAGATTTTGTTAACCTGGTTGTGTGGCTTGATATTATTGTCTCTTGTATACCCGATAACATTCTGAGCCTTCATCGGTATCGTCTATGATGCCAAATTGTATATGAATGTGTGTTCTCACTGTGTTTTGAACAACTTCAGATTATTTGATACAGATTACAGACAAGAAACCTCAAGTTATGTACTTGCTTTAATATTCGGCTATTAATATTTCATTGTTCCATTCATAGGTTTGTATCCAGGTCGTCATCAACCGGTGGTCACAATTCCCCTGAACAAATCTATTTTACTTTTCAGTTTTATCGGTTTCCCCAGGTTGTAACATCAACGTAAGTTTCTGGATGCGGTTTTAGTAAAAAGGTGCTTAAATTTTACTTTTTGAACAAGTTATAGTACTTCTGTGTCTATCATTGCCATTTTATTCTCGGTTACGATGATAAAGATTTGAGACACCATTCAAATCTGCTTTAGATTGAAGTTAACCATTTAAAAATACTTCAAATGAATTAAATTTGTCAGTTATTATGATCTTGTCTTTGATTGGTTTCTATAGTATGTTTTATTGTTTTGTTTTATCTAAGCATTTTGTGATCGTTCTAAGTATATGTTATAAATTGCCACTAATAATATGTCGCCAAATAATATAAATTGCCCAAATATTACGTATTGCGATAGGACTACACGAAATTCTACCGATTGACCAAATTCGGATATCCTAGTTCTACCCCAATACTGTTCCTCAACTCCAATAAATCAGAACACAGAGGTTAAGTGAGAATTGTTTATGGGGTCAGCAGCAGAACAAAAATGGTTTACAGACAAGGTATATTTATACAGTTAAAATGACTATGTACAGTAACCAATGGAAAGAAAGGACACGTAAAGGTTATAATTAGGATAACTCAAAATTGACCAATAGGAGAACGACACGTGAAAGTCATAGTTAGGACAACTGTAAATAATGACCAATTGAAAATAACATGCAAAATATGTGAAGAGTCTGAAAATAAACAACTTTACTTTCGAGATAATTTTGGGATATTCCTGTGAATATTCTAACAGTATATGACATTAATAGATCAACTAAAAACACTTTCGATTAGAATTCAAAAGTATCTGAGTATAACAAATCATGCGTATACAACTAGTTGAAAACATGATTGTCTGAACTGGCTGAGTTAACGCAAGTTGAGTAATTGAAAAGCATACTTCTGCTTGACGTGAACACAGATAATGTTATCCAGAATGATCCCGAAAGTTTTTCAAATAAAATATTTCAGAGAAGGCAACACAATCAGAGAAATTATTTGATCTAACTAACCAGCTAAGAAACTGTTCTCTGTAGTTTGATCACTGGTCAAATTAGAAATGTTCCTCAACCTATTGATCGAATTCACTGTTATCCACTTTTGTGATTCTTATATTCTGTGTTCTGATAAAATATATGTTCAAGTTATTATTGACTTTATCATATATTATTACATTTTTTAAAGCTTATTCATTGGACAGTCTCTTGATGATTGCCCTAGTTCAAATGGTGATTCATTTAGAACTTTGTGGAAATCTAAGCGACAAAGAGAAAAGTCTTTTTCATCGATAGAATTAAATCCTTCCATTGGGAAAAGTGAAAATCAATCGCCAGGATATAAAGTAATTGGTAGTTCATAAAAGTGTTGATTGTTATCGTGTTTACCATTTCTGTCATTAACTTGTATTCATTCTGATTACCATATATACAACATGAAGAGTTAATATGCTAGGATTGTTTAATGTATAAATCTTCTTGTTTAATAGTCGATAAATTGTAATCAGAATTTTCAGGTACTTCATTGTCAGATTGTAGATAGTTCTGCCGATTATTTGTAACTAATGAGTGAATCATGAATGGATTAATTTTAGACCACCATTGTAAACCTGGAAGCACTGAACGACCGTCTTGACTTATTATAGGACTTCTCATCAGTGCGCATCCACGATCCCGCACGCGGGACTCGAGCTCAGGACCTTAGGTTTCGCGCACAAATGCTGAACCTCTATACCACTGAGGAATCCTGTACTAAGACGAAATGGCTGTTTAGTGCTTCCAGTTTTTCAATGGTGGTGTAACACTGATCAATTCATGATATCAATCTAAACTCAACAATCTCTATCATAATTTACACTTACAGCATATCTACAAAGTGAAATAACTGATCAATGTTGTATTTTATCGACATCCAATTGTCATTTACACTTTGTCCTTAATTCTATTACCATTTTATCATACGCTGAAAAGTTTTACAAATGGAATCGAATCAGAGTGGATTTGAGTAGCTTCATCAATGAAACCTAGTTTTGTAGTTTTTCTTAAGAAAACATATGACTTTGCAACTTTTTATTCTATTGTCTTAATAGAATATTGAATACATGTTATCAATAAAGTTAAAGAAATGTTAAAAATTCGGTTTTATTTATTTATTTAAGCACAAATGTTGGTACAAAGGGGAACCAGATACATATGCGCCACACAAATCTCATCTGATTTGTGTTAGGGCTATGATACTGTTCCGGTGCCAAAACCGAAGCAGGTGGTTTTCTCAGGGGGGCATATCAGGATTTTTTGACCTAAAGGTCTAACCCACAAGGCAGTGAGGCATCGTAAGGAGATGCAGTCCCAAGGTAGCCGGTGGCCAACGATTGACTCATACGCCATTTGTTCCTTCAGGATACTGGAGCCTATATGCACGATTGGTTTGGCATAACGGTTTTCGAACTCCCCTGGGTGGAATTTCCGTGTCCACCGAAAATTCGGTTTACAGCTTCACTAATCACATTTTATCAAATTGATAAAATTAGTTTCTTTAATTGTAATAATTTTGTAGGTAATTTTTCGTATTGATCCTAATTACTTTAAACCTGGTGAAATGGAAATATTTTTTAATTATCTACTTCGAACAACTATGCAAATTGATGTTTGGAATGCAAAATCTCATATTCTAATAGGAACATGTATGGTTGAATTAAAAGTAAGTTCGCTTGTTTTTTCCTTAGATTAGTTATTTTCAACGAAAGTTCATTATAATAGTACAGATAAAGAATCCTTAATATAGTCGTAAAAAGTACTTACATTATGCAAATTTAGCTGATAAATATACATTATAAGTAAAAGTTAATTATAAGCAAAGATGGATAGTTACTAGCAGTGGAATCCAGGACGTGCGTTTCGTCCTATTTGGGACTCGTCAGCTGGATGTATTTGCATCTCAGAGTTGATGTTCACCCTGAGACTCGAACCTAGAAACTTTCGCTTCAAACGCCATCGCGTTATCCACTCAGCTACTTAGTTTTGATAGTCACTTGTTTGTTCAATAAGGTGAAGTTTGAATTCAATTGGTATTGTAGATCCAGCTAGCGAGTCCCAAATAGAACGAAACGCGTGTTCTGGATTTCCCTGCTAGCGGCTGTCAATCTTTGCTTATAATGCTTGTGAATTAAGGCTATATCGAGGCAATAGGCATAGTATGCCAATAAGTGATTGATCAATTGCAGTCCTAAACATCAATGGGAGATTCAAACAAACAATACCAAGTGAATTAAAAGTTAATTAGTTTGATGCAAAACTTATGTTATGCAACGATTTTGTAAAAATATAATGTTTAGTAATAAATAAAGTAAATACAAATGAATTTAATAATAAGACACAGATAATTGATTGATAAAAAGTTAAGATAATGTATGAAAATTCTGCTAAACGATTGTTAAGTCAGTCAGTCAGCTGCAACATAGGGCCAGGCACATATACGCATTAGTCCAAGTTACCACACATCATTAGCACAACAAGATGAGCACCGGATTCACTTCAATGGTAGGAAATTACAAAAGAAAAATTTTGTATAAGGAAATAATACAGGAAGAAAGAATTAATTTGTAGAAACAAAGGTATAAAGTAATTTTAATTTCGAGGTTTAACGGGAGACAAAGAGTGTATACACCTACGCTACTGTAATCGATTCTGAGTCATGTCACACAGAGTCCTTAACCATTGGTTACGATTTTTAAAAAATGGAAAGTTCATTCCAACGAAAACAAATTGAACAAAAGTTCTATTACACTGAGTTGTAAGAATTTTATTAGTTTGAATAAAGACTGACAATGTAGGAAAACGTTGAATTAAACTTTTGATAAAGTTTTTTTTCTACTTACTTTTTTTATGGCATTTGACTAACAGATTCAAATTAGATATACATTGATAGATTAGTACACCAACTGATATTCTATTACTGTCCATAAATATTTATAACTATACTTCAATAATCATTCATCTACTCGAAAGTTATGTAACAAATTGATTCGCTTACAAGTATTGTTGTAGTGAAGAAAGTGATGTGTGGACGAGAATGACAATGATTGGTTGTTCTGCTGAGTCAGACATTAGATAGGATGACAGGTGTTACATGTGTTATGTATTCCCCTATCTTGACTGTTCCTTGTTGTTGGACTGTTATTGATTGACTGTTCCTTGTGTCAGATTTTGGTGTGGAAATATATTGACGTTATAGTCAGGCTAATCTCGTGTTCTTGATCTGAGTTGTGTTGAAGTTCTGTAGGATAGACACTGGGTGGGAATCTAGTGTAGATATTCGTCTAAGGTAAATTAACGTCCCACATACGTGTAAAAAGTCAAGGAACTGTTATAACCAGAAACCCTAGAGTTATAACAAGTATCATACAGTTTATAGTAGAAAGATAATGTGACAATAACATTATTCCAGTATTAATGAAATTTTGTTTAATAAGAATGACTTGAATTTGAATAAGGTGAATTGAACATAGTGATATTAGTTCTCAATGTGCCGTAATATCTATAAACATATCTGTGCAACGTAATGCATCTGTTCCAAATGCAGTGGAATAGATTGTTTATAAATTCGATAGTGTATTTTTATGAGTCTCACTTAGTTTTTCAGTATGAAGTGCTTCGGTAGTAACATTCAGGTTAATTTAACGTTGTTATTAGTACAGGTCTGATATTTATCACTTTCAAAGTGTTATCGTACAGATGATATTTACCGGTATTTGATAAGTCGTTTTTAAAGTAGAATATTGTTATGTAACTCTATGACTGGATTTAATTTACTAGTGATGTGAAAATTCAAATCGAATGTTTTCAATAGAATAGAAAATATTTTCTACCATCTTAAGTGATTAATTAAAATTCTTTGGTTTTTGCAACTGATTTAGGGTTAACTAGATTATCTCAATCACTGGATACTGAACGAGCAATATATTTGTTTATGAATTGTAATACATCGCTCTGGCTAAGCGTAGTTGTCGGTTGTCATAAGTTATCTTTATATATTCGTGTTTAAATGCGCTTTCATACTATCACCTCAAACGGTTTTATACTGAAAACTTCTAATGTTCGGGAAAATTAGTCGATCGATGAGTACTGATAAATAGGTGAATATTAGAAGTAGCTAAAGATGTGTCAGTTGTTGCGATCGTACAAAAGAAATTCTATACAAGTTTAAAAAACGTAGTTTATTTTCTGTTACATAGATACGTTATCAAGAGATAAGTAGTTCTCATTAGTTAGAGATCAATTTCACTAGTGGTGTTGTTCGGAACAGTAAAACACTGGACAAATGTTTCATCTTCAAATGGAACTCTTAAGCAGCGAAAACCCATAACGTCTGTAGTGGCGTGCTTCGTTAGGTTCATCGTCTCGATAATCGTTATTTTACAAATTTTAACGGTGGATAAAGTCAGAAGACAAAGGGAAGCGGCAACTACATTTTTATTGTCAAATAACGTAGGCCAGAAAGCTGTGAGCACATGAGCGAATGTCAGCAAGCGGAACATACATGACACGTATTGGAAATGGCTGATAAGCCAACTCGCTATAAGAAAGCATTGATCAATATTTATAGTCAGACAAAAATGAATGACAGACATATGATGAGTAAGATACGAAGTGTGCACACAATAGTCAAGATTAATAAGCGAATAATTAACACGATCAAAATATGACTCATAACTTATAGGTGAATTGGCTTGTCCAGAAACTAGAATAAGCTGTGTAGGTGTAATATAGTACAAGACGTTACACTACTCCCCACACGTTGCCTGGAGTCCAACGCACGATTTTTGGATCTGGTGTAGTACGCTCTACTTTTATAGCCATCGGGTTGGTTTTAATGCTCTACAGTTGCGACTTTGACCAGTTTATAATACTGCATAATAATCATCCACTGTCACTATATATGACACTATATTATATTCTGGTATCCCAGTTACTTTACTTAAAATACGAAGATTTCTGATTTGTTTTTTCCAAAATAATAATGACAATATACACAAGTATATGAACTTGTTTATCTAGACTGATTGTTGTCATTTTTTACAAAGCACCTTTGTCGTCAAGGTCGTGAAGCTGTTCAGATCACGTACTCCACGGATATCTTGAATTCAAACGACAATTTATTTGAAGATGAATCAAGTTCATCAAGCCCTCCAGATATCCAAGGTTGTTTGCTCTTGCGACTTGCAAATATTGGACATCGTAAAGAACTAATATGCAAAGAAATTACGATCAGAAATAATAACCGGAAAAAATATTTAATTAGTCAAAGGGATGCTACTTGTTTCAGAAAGTAAGTAATTTTATAACATTTCGTTTGTACATATGTGGTAAAAAATAAATGACATTAATGGAAGTGGTTTTGTGGAGATTTAGTACTTCCATAGTTGAAAGCGTGAGTCAATTAATGGGAGTAATGTATGGAAACAATGGAGAAGAGGTTGATAGCGATCGCTCAACAAACGATTAATTATTATATTGAAGCTCTTAATGAATCTCACTCAGTAAAAATGTATGCTCTGGTTTCGCAAGTCGAAAATTTCCGGCTTAAAGCAAGACGTTAAATAATTAAACTCAGCACTATGAAAATGAAAGAAAAAGTGATGGATTTTATCATACTTTGCTTTATTTCTACTAGATTTACAGGTGATGATCTCTCAAACATGAAATCAAATGATGACACAACAAGGATTGTGGTTCGCGCGCATAAAATTAAACAAACTAATACTGAACTACAAAGAATGTTGAAAGTGGATAGTGCCTCTGAAGAAAAATCACCCATGACAATAAAAGCAAATAAATTGGTAAAAAATCAGAGTGAAATAGAAGACGTGACAACATTAGAGAAACTTGAACGTTTACATATTTCATTGAAATCTGTTGAAGGTTTAAAAAATGTATGGGATAATACTAAACTATCTGAAAAGTCGAATATAAAGGTAGGTTAATAAAATTAACATTCAATTGTTGACTGAACTAAAAGCAGTGACCGATGATTGGAGACTCTAGGTGACATGGCTCAAACTCGATCACAATGGCGTAGGTGTATACACTCTTTATCTTCCCTTAAACTTTCAGATTAAAATGGCTTCATATCTTCCTTTCTTTCTATACTATATCCTTATATACAACATTTCTTTTATATAATACCACCACTAAATTAACTACTTCTATGAATCCAGTGTTCATCTTGTTGTGCTAACGAGGTATGGCAACTTGGAACGATGCATCTATGTGCCTGGTCCTACGTTGTAGCTGACTGACTGACTGACCGATGACAGTCTGGTGACAATTTCATATAGTCTGAACAGTTTTCGTGTAGTACGTAAAAGTCTCTAAGAATTAATCGAAATGTGACATTATGGTTAAATGTTTAAGTAGAATGAAAATCAAATAACACGAAAATCTTGTTGACAGAATCATGTAGTTACTTTAGGACTTATTCGATGTTTAACATTGTCCTCTTTTTTTTAACTCTTTAACGTTTTCCATATTTTACTTTAATAGTTTTGTGAAAATTTGTCCCTTAAGTATAACGACCTGGTAATAAATTCTGTGTAAAATTAAAAGAATTTGGTCAGAAGTAATATTGTTGTGAACAGAACACCGGTTGGGGACAATTGAATGTATTTAGACACAAATTACATACTATCGCACTAGATTCTGATAACCATACAATGAACCGTTAATTAGCAAAATAACAACCAATCGTCTCAATCTTCACTGTTCCTTCTGCAAATATCAGTTCATCTTCTATAGTTCCACTGTTCATTCATTTTCCTACCAATCGCGCTTCACTTCAGTTCTTTCCTTATCGGTCTTCTGCCAAAATATATTCTGTTTGACTATCGCCATATACTACTTATATGGCTATAAGTAGACCACACTACAATATTATGATTTAGACAAGGTTCCCAATAAGTAAACTCTCACTAAAAAAGTAAGATTAATTAAATTCACTCGCAGCGTAACAAGTTAGCAACCTATTGATCATATAGTCTTATAGATACTGCGTTCATTTTTTGGGGATATCCAAATACTTCGGATGAATCTGAACTTCAATGCAACAGATTGTTTCACATTCACTTGGTGTTGTTTACTTGTAGGACGAAACGCACGTCCTGGATTCCAATGCTGGCCGCTATCCATCATTGCATATAAAGACTGTTTTACATTTAAATATTTAATGATTTTTCGACTACATTCTTTTTTCTAAAGAACAGTATCAGATAGCTATCTTCAAATGAATAATTATGAATAAGGATTGTTTAAAAAAAATAAAAATATTATCGGGTGGAATGTTATTGAAAAACTAATGAAAATACAAACTGGTCGGTATTTGTTTGCATAGAGTTGTGAAGATTGATTTTTATTAAAATAATGAACCGATCTATGTTGGACAACCGTTTAAAATATGGAGTCACTGGAATGCCGTTTCGTCATAGTGTGGGACTCCTCAGTAGTGAGTATACAAGACTCAGCACGCAAAAATGGAGCCTAGGACCTTCGGTTTACCCTCGCCAACCCATAACTTCTAGACCACTGAGCCGGCATTCAACAAATGTTAATGTCAAACTTCAATCAATCCATGATATTGCACAACCAACTCTCATTGTCTTCGGTGGTAACTGCCTCAAACCTGATATAGTTGACCCCCACTTGTCACGGTTTCTCACTAGCAGTTCAAGAATTTCCTCTTGAAGCTAGTCACTAAGATGCACACTTAGTATTTAGTAAAACACTTTCATCCTTCTACCCAAATAAGATAACCTTCTGGAAACGTTTTAACCAACTGAATGATGTTTTATGAGTTGACTCTCCTTTCTTTTTAAATATAACGATATTCACTTGTAGGAAAATTATTCGGTCTTGCCAATAACCACGAAGATCAGTACATCTAGGTATTTGACTGATAGTGATCTAAATATTTATTGAATAATCATTTTTAGTTAGTTGATTACATTTTATGACCAAGTCTATATTATTACCAAACAACTGAGTTAAAATAATTTTTTAAAACAATAATTGAGATCTGATGGTTTACTTAGAAAATTTACTTTTGATAGTTAAATGAAAGAATTACTAAAAGGGAGGATTGTTTGACAGAAACATCCTACATTTATTTGTATCAAATTCACTTTATTAGGATACAAGGACCTAGGAAACTTCAATTACGTATAGTATTGAAGGATGTGAGCAGTACCTTAGATTATCTCAACAATTAATCCAGATGGATAGTCGATGTTAAGGCTGATAATTATTATTTACTGCTAAATATATCTAACGTAAATTCTGAAATCCTCTGACAGCTATAGAAACATTAAAAATTCTCATGGAAGAAGTTTCAACATTCAAAGACTTCTATTAAGTATATAAACTAGAAAAGTAATGAATTAAGCATAAAGCACTAACTTCAGACCATTGAAAGCTAATAACTAATAGTAATGTAAGATTCAATGAATGTAAATCAAATCATTAAGTGATTTAAAAGGTGTTTTACAAAATCTTTAAATCATCATTGTGCTTCAAAACTTCTCATCAACTAATTCTTGACACCGATCATGTACAACTATATTAGGTCAGTTCTAATAGACTGACTTCGTGAGATAAATCCAGAAGTTTTAGTGAGAAGCAGTGACTAGTGGAGTTCAACCACGTCTGTTGTGAGATATCAATTCACTGAAGACAATTGGTGAACGGTTGCTCAAACTTCGTGGATTAGTTGGAGTTAGACATTAACACCGTTGGACGCCGGCTCAGTGGTCTATTGGTTATGTGCTCTGACGCGGGACTGGTAAGTCCTGGGTTCGAATCTCGCGAGCGCGGGATCGTGGATGCGCACCTCTGAGGAGTCCCATGATAGGATGAAACGGCCGTCCAGTGCTTCCAGGTTTTCGATGGTTGTCTAGCTTGAATTGACTCACGCTTTCAATTATAAATATTTATATTCTAGTATTAAGGATGATTTTTCATGTTTTGCGCTTCAACTGGTAAGTATTTAAAAAGATATAATTCTTTTAAATTCTTATTTGAACTAAATAATAACAATTATTTCATTCGTATAATAGACCTTATTGTTAGATGGAAAACCACAGTTGGATACAATTAGCCATTATAGAGATCAAAAGAAACATGAATTATTTGAACGAATAATCAATAAAGCTACAACTATTGAACATGAACTCTCTACAAGTTTTGGTTGTACAGAATTTTTTGAATATCAATTAAAGAACCCTTTCAATATCGAAGATACTGTTAATGTGAACATTGAAGATGATTCGTAAGTTGATAATAATATTGAATTAACTGTTTCATTTCGAATTAGAAGGCCAGTTCAAACTATGTGGACAATAGTTTGGACAGATGATATATGCTTAACATAATTTTCCTATGTGTTGAGAAATATATTTACGTCGATATACTGATGTTTGTGTAGACGTCTACCGTAATCACTGCTCTCAATGAAAATTTTGTCACCACTGTTTGACAACTACTGAAAAAGTAAACCATAATTCCACTGGAAATCAAACACTGATAGATTCGCGAATAAACTACATTAAGGGCTTAATAACTCATTAACTGACAATAGCTTTGACGCGGATTAGAACCTGTAACCGAAATGTTGAAATGTTAAGTAACTCAATCATCATACCACTCACCTTATATTATTACAAGCACGAAACGCGGATCCTGTATTTCACCGCTAGCCACATTCTATATACTCTGTATGAGAACCTGATTTTGTAAGGTGTACTAATTTAGCATGACTTTTTATCAATTGAACCAAGAATACTCATGTTTACATTTATTTTTTTTATTTGAACCTAGATAATAACTCATAGTTATAAGATTGTTTTTATGAGTTATTACAGAGTAGATAGGATGTGGCTAGAAGTGAAATTCAGAACGCGCGTTTTGTTGCTTTGTATCTGTCAGCTGTATGTACTCCAGTGCAGAATTGATCTTCACTCTAGGACTCTAACGCAATACCATTCGCTTCAAACTTCATCACTTTATCCATTTAGCTACTGACTCCAGATAGGCACTCACTTGTATAACGGGTATGATATTTAATTCAATTTGAAATGGTTTGAATTATCTGGTTGTTAATATTTTAACTGAAATTTGATCAGCCTTGGTTGGTATATGGCATTCTGCTCAGATTACCTTGCTATAGACATTATGATGCTATTTAATAAAGAATAGATAGAATATTTTAAAATAACCTAACTTTTGAAATACTTTGACGAATCTTAAAGAAAAATCAGAATGGGAACTTTTAATCGATTTCTATCGATATTTGTACTTTAATTTATAGAAATAGTTTATCCTTTGTTATGGATCCACGTGAAGTACGTGCATTAAAATTAGCTTTCAATATCGATACACCAACAGAAGATGATTTATTTGCTCTGGATATGAAAAACAATTATCACGATCACAATAACAATGATAATATTGAAAGAAAATCATTGAAGAGAAACAATGTTATATTGTTTCTCAAACCAAACGAAACTGTACTAATACCGATGAAATATGAAGAGGCTACGATGTTTCAATGTACTAAACAATATGATGGCGTAGGCGATAGAAATGTGGGTACGATGTATGGTAAACACGTATTTTTCACTTGAAGTTTATGCCTTTAGATGCACGTGCCATCACGTAATAACACTAATGAAATTGTAGTGAGAGACTCACTAACGTTTTAATCATTACACATGGTTAACTATGTAATATCTCGACACGAATGATTACCGTTGTTGCTTTATTGGGTATGGACTAAGGCTTCTTGTAATACGGCGCAACAAATAGAAAGTTGGTTACATCGAGCTTTGGACGTTAATAATTTACAAGTTAATCGATAGAGAATACGTAAATTTCAAGATAACTTTGTATTCTGTAAATAAGATGGTGTAGATTTTTAGCTCAGGTGGATGATTTTGGTGGAGTTTTGTTCTCTGATCGCTAATTGATGTTCGTTCCTGCACGAACATTAGCGGTCAAACGCCATAATATATCCTCGCTTATATAATTGCAAGTAGACATTTAAAAACACATTCGACTGGGAAAATGTTGAGACCTTGGGTAGAGGCAACTCTAAAAACACCAAAATGTTTTTAAAAGCTTGGCACTCAGGTCAATCGGAAATCAACAAACACATTGAAATTGAGCCAATTTATCAACCAGTCAGGAAAATTATGTACAAACATAGTACCTAGGATTAAATCAATGGAACATACAATCAAAATAAAGAAATAATGACAGGTTAAAGGTCAATATTAACCAATAAAGATCGAGGTCTACAGGATAAGTTAACAGCAATAAATGGAGGAATTCGAACACTTCACTTCTATCTCAAGTTTGTGCTGATGATGTTGTTCAGAATAGCGATGAAAGCTCCACGACCAAACCATCCGGCTCAGAAAACGAAACTTCACCAAAATCTGTTTACAAGTCAACAATTGGTGAAGAACAATTCTATTTATATAGTAGCATGGGATTGCCTTGGGTGCATGGCAAACTTGGCAAAGTAAAAACGATGACAACCAGTCATATACCAGCAAATGTTATCACGGAAATGCAAAGGGGAAGAATATCATCAGGGTTTTCTCCTAGATTCTCCTTTTAATTTCTTGTGTACGTCTAGTTGAAAGAGCTGCACTGCGTCAGTGGTGAAGGGTATACGTTAGGTTACGTACTTAATTCAAACTACGGTTAAAGAGACTATGATCTACACATCGATTAATTGAGGAAGTTAATCTGATTATTCATTAGTTTATGTCATCACTGCTTCAGAGAGTTTTTGATCGGTTTATTCAAAAACTACAAAAAGTATAACTATAATCAGTCTATCCTATAATTTGATTTCAATCAAGCAAAAAATGGTGTAGTTAATGGTTAATTTATTGCATTCCAAGACTTGGAAATTACCTAATAATGAATAAACTTGTTGTTAACATCTAATTACTTCTAAGGAAATAATAGTTTCCAGATATATCAGGAGTGAAACAGTTGTCACCACTATTGTTGGATTTAAGTCGCTCTTTATCGCTAGTCCATCGAATATCAACCCGGTAGTTCTGGGAGTTTTTGACGTTCACCGTTAGGATTAAAGTTCCTGAGTTCGGTCTCTGGCTGAACCATGAGTGTTCACCTGACTAAGGCAACTGGTCCTCAGGACTTCATTTTTCCGATGGTACCCCCTAATGATTTCAGTTTGTGACGAATACAAACTGAGGCACAATAATCTGTCAGCCGCTAAACTTACCTCCAATGAACAAATTATTAGTCTCTAATCTCTCTATTTCATCGACAATTTGTGACTGAATGAGTCGTCAATCTATGTTTCAAAGATTCATTTTTCTACACTTTTGTAACTTCTCATTGTATTTGGACTGTGGTTGTCACTGAAATCTAGGATGTGTGTTTCATTTTATTTGGATATACTCTAATCCCAATGTTGATGTTCACTCTGAAACTTGAATTTAGTATCCATCACCTTCAAACCCCGATAAGTTACCAACTTAATTACTGATTGCATATAGCCATTTACTAACAGACACTGGATTAAATGAGGCTCTAAATATCAATAACCGAATATTACAAACCTTGCTAATATTATTTTAATACCGAATTATAATTATAAATATCAGAATGAAATTTCTATATTGTTTATCTATAATGGAATTACCAATGCTTAATACGTAATTGATTTTAAAATCTAATAAAATTAACATAAGGGGTTTTGTGGAGTTTTAGTACTTTCATAGTTAAAAGCGTGAGTCAATTGAAGCTAGACAACCATCAAAAACCTGGAAGCACTGGACGGCCGTCTCGTCCTATTGTGGGACTCCTCAGCAGTGCTCATTCACGACCTTGCTTCGCGAGATCCGAACCCAGGACTTACCAGTCTTGCGACAGAGCACTTAACCGATAGACCCCTGGGCCGACACCCAAGGGTGTTTATGTCTAACTTCAACCGATCCACGAAGTTGATCAACCGTTCACCAATTGTCTTCAGTGAGTTGATATCACTAATGACTGACTTCGAGAGGTAAATCCAGGAGTTCTAGTGAGAAGCAATGACCAGTGGAGTTCAAACCACGTCTGTTGTGAGATATCAACTCGTGGATGCGCACTGTTGAGGAGTCCCATAATAGGACGAAACGGCCGTCCAGTGCTTCCAGGTTTTCCCTGGTGGTCTAGCTTCAATTGACTCAAGCTTTCAACTATAATAAAATTAAACCGATCAACTTTGTATAAGTTACTTTTTACCAAAGAGTGATGATGTATGACTTTTATTTACATATGTTTTACTTGTTACAGCAATTCGAATTTACTTCAAGTATTGAAGATAATCCTGTACAAATGAAACGTGTCATACAAGTAAGATATCATTTTTGTGTTGTGAAAAAAATTAACTTCAGTAATGTATCTTAGTTACTATGATAATTGATCAATGCGTTTCAGAATTAAAACATTGAAACACTTTAATATAGATCTCTGTTCAAACTATATCAAATACATTTTTGTAAAGGACGATTTACATTGTTAAGGAACATTCATACATTTAATGAAAGTAGAATAACACATATCGAGTAATTCGTTCTGATAAACTCTAAGAGAATAACACATTTTATCAGTGGGATAGTTATTTCTAGGATATAATTCATATTCAACTTAGTTATATAAGAAATTCAATTATATATTTTTGGATTAGATGTCGAGCAAACTTCCTGTTTTATAATAACCACTCCCTTTATAGCATGTTCTATTACAGATGAAAATTCTAGAATGCACCAACCGTATTCACAGTATCAACAATGAATTAAACAATAACTGTGTATGAATACAATTACTCTGTTATACATTACTTATTTACTTACGCCTGTTACCGCTTATGGAAGTCTTCGTAATCCAGTCAACCACCGGAAGAAAGAGAGATAGAGGAAGAGTAAGCATATTTGTCTGACTCCGCTCCCCACTTGGAATGCGTCTGTTAGCTGTCCTCCATACACGACTTTGCACTGTAGTCTGTCGTATGAATTCCGTATGATATTGACGATTTTCTCAAGTACTCCATAGTGTATTTGAAGTTTCTATAATGTTCTCCTACCCACACTGTCAAATGCTTTCTCATAATCAAGGGAGTTGATGTATAGTGATGAGTTCCATTTATACGTTAGACTGTTATAATCAACAAATGCAACTGATTTACTAAGTTAGTAAACTAATCCCTCTTAACACGTTTTTTTTAAAATTTAACTGTACACAATTAACTCTTCTATTACTGGCTTACTTGATTTTTTGTTGTCCTTCTTCGTAACAATTATATGATATTGGACACTTAGAGTAATATTGTAATGGGATGTTATGTATAACAATTACGATCGAAAAGTTATGACAGACTTGCGTATTCTAAGGGTAGAAAACGAAACGTTACAAAGGTAGCACAAACTTAAATAACTTCTGACAATTTTAACTCTAGGTGTACAGTGTTCCCACTATGATTAACAATAATCACTTGTAATCATATGGATTTTAGTCAATACAGGTAACTTATATGTAGTTAAGCTGGATAAATGTGAACTCATTCTAAAGTGAAGAATCATTTTTTTATTTACTTATTTATTTAAACACATAAATACTGGTGCAAGTGGGCACCAGATACATATGCGCCACACACAATATTGTCTTTTCATGTTAATTGTGTGGGGGTTTTAATACTGCTCAGGTGCCCAAACTGAAGCAGGTGGTTTTCTTAAGGGGGCCACACCTGGAGCCTTCGACCTAAAGGTCTGATCCACAAGATGCAGTCCCATGGTAGCCGGCGATCAATGATTGGTTCATACGCCATTTGTCCTCTCAGGACACTGGAGCCCATGTGCACCATTGGTTTGGAATCAGGGTTTTCCAACTCCCGTAGGTGGACTCGCTGTGTCCACCAACCCGGTTTAAGCACCGGACATTCGCTTTTCATCCTCTCAATTTCGTAAACAACACCCGTGATGCGAGAAGTCAGTGAGTAGGACTTCCCTGGCAGAGGCTATATGCGCGTGGACATATGAGAGCATTTCAAAAGGGAGAGCGGACTTTCCCCACTCTCAGCCGTACCAGGGCATTTGGGGGCTTTTTTTCTATTGAAGCTTACTATATGGAAAAAGTTTAGACTATAAGTTTAGAACTGAGATTTTTGAAAGTAAATTTAACTACTAGGACTAGTCGAACGCGAATAATGAACATCAAATATTCTCAAATACATTACCTGTTTAAATTTGATAATCTCTCTCTTCTTTAACACCAATACCTGGCTATTAAATCATGTTAGCACTCAAACCATGGAACTTAAAGTAACTAATTGAAACTTATCAATGAGAGTTGATTTATTCCTAAAATACCAATCAAAGGGAATCATACACATTGTCACCAAAGTTAACTTGCTCAGCAAAAACAGGCGTTGTTTTGCTAACGAGGTATGGCAACTTGGACCGATGCATATATGTGCCTGGTCCTATGTTGTGGCTGACTGACTGAAAATAAAATTCCGCCAATCATAGTGGCTTTTTAAATTATTTTAGATATTTTGAGTTATTTACAAAATGTGTTACTCTATTAAAAACTGATGTTGTAGTATCAGTTAATATGTTAAGCCTATATACTTTATCCTAGCTACTGGCCAAGCCAATTCGCCTGTCATGAGTCATATTTTGATCTTGTTCATTATTCGCTTATTAACCTTGGCTATACTTTTAAATGAGCATATATGTGTACACTTCGTATCTTATTCATCATATGTCTGTCACTCATTTTTGTCCGACTATAAATGTTGATTAACGCTTGCTTAAATTGAGTTGGCTTCATAGCCATCTCCAATATGCATTATTTTCGCTTCGCTCTCGAGTTGGCTTCCCAGCCATCTCCACAGCATGTCATTTCCGCCTCGTTCGCTTCCTTCGCTTATTCGCCTGTTTACTCGCTCGCTTGCCGCTCACTCGCTCGTTCATATTCGCTCAGGTGTTGTTAGCTTTCTGACCTGAGTTATTCGACAATAAACTGTAGTTGCTGCTATCCTTTGTCTTCTGATTTTACGCGCCGTTAAGATTAGAATTATATCGGTTATCGAAACAAACGATTAACGAATCACGGCACTACAATGTCAAAATTACTAAACATATTCCTTTCACGATAAAACGAATATCTGTGTTATATCGTAATACATTTGGCTTTCTGACTTAAACGCAGTTAACAGTAAAACAAAGATACAAAAGAAGTAAATACTTTATGTTAACTATATAAAATTTACATCCTGATAAAATAACTGATTAACTATAGCTTTGATTTTTAACTAATAACGCTAACATAAAAGGCTAAATTATTAACATACTGACTTACTTACAACTATTACACCTCGTGAAGAAAATGTGACCGAACAGAATTCTCCAATCAAACTCTGTCCTGAACTCTCCTTTCCAAATGTTTCTAATTGCTATTCATTCTCTCCATGCCTGTCTCTAATTCCCGACGAATTTTGTTCCTTGGTCTTCCTCTTTTGATTTTCCCTTCAGGATTCCAAGCAAGTGCCTGCCTCTTTATGATGTCTGACCATTTCCGCAATTTATATCATATCCACTACCAGTGTATTTTCTTAATTTCCCCTTCAGCTGGAAACTAATTCGTTTTCTCCAATAGTAGGCTGTTGCTGATGTTATCCGGCCAATGAACATTAAGTGACTTGCGTAGGCAATCGTTTAGAAACGCCTGTACTTTTATGATGATGGTTGTAATAGTTTTCCAAGTTTCTACTCCGTAGGATTCAACAGACTTGATGTTTGTATTGAAGATTCTGACTTTGATGTTGGCTGACAGTTGTTTTGAGTCCCATATGTTCTTCTGTTGTAGGAATGCTGTCTAAGCTTTCACAATTCATTCTACTACATAGGCATTAGATCCTCCTTGTTTTTCAGTGATGCTGCCCAAGTACGAAAATTTTTTAGAGCTACTCCATCAATTGTGATTTGGTTGATGCTACCTGTGTTGTACTGTTGGATCTTTTTCACTTTTGTATGTTGAGAGTCACTGCTTTAGATGCCGCTAATACACTGGCTTTTTTGACCTGCATTTGTTGCTGTGTTAGGGTAAGAGAGCTCAGTCACCCGCAAAATTCAAATCGTCTAGCTCCATCCAAACTGTCTATTTTATTCTGTGCTTTCCCTGAGATATGGAGCACTTTATAATCCAATCGACCACCAGAAGAAGGGAAAGGACGAAAGTAAGCAGCCTTGTCTGACTCCGGTATTCACATATAAGGAATCTGTGAGCTGCGCTCCATGCACCACTTTTCGGTGTAGCCTGTCGTATGAATTATGTATGGTGTTGATGAGCTTTTCAGCCACACCACAATACCAAAGAAGGTTCCCCTATTGACGCTGTCAAACATTTTCTGATAGTTAAAAAATTAATGCATATTGACGAGTTCCATACGATTGATTGTTAAATAATGATCCCTAGTGTTCCGATTTAGCTTGTACACGACCGATCCTTATGTAATCCAAATTGTTGGTCACGAAGTTCGTTGTCTACCGAATCTTTTATTCTGTTCAACAACAGCGTTGGAAACTTCCCCTGGTACTGATGGTAATGTGATGCGGCGGGACTAAACTTTATGAACGGGCCAATCAGAAGCTTTCGTGGGTTTTCAAGGTCACGGCGCGAAGTTCGGTACCTGATGGTTACGTACGATCGGTTTACAGCGGATTTTAATAATAATTCAGCGTCTACAAGAGAAGGGATTATTAAGAAGTTCCTATACTTGTGACTGTGATACTCAAATGACCGCTGTACGGTGTGCAGACTACCGTGATGAGATTATCTTTCTATGTTGTTCATTTTGGAAGAAGAAATCAGCTCGAACAGGAACTCTTTTCGCTCGATCACGATTAAGGTTAAGACAAATTATGATACTTGTTGCAAATTGGATAATAAAAGCACCTGTTACACTTGCTGCCACGTTTGCCGATGTAAGTGAAGTTTCGGCAGTTCAGTGGTACGAGTATTGTCGAAATATATGTGCAGCCAAATTGACAAGCACCAATTTTTATGGAGTAGGGAAAATCATTGAAATAGACGAAACAGTAGTAAGGAAACGGAAATTCAACCGTGGCCGTAGTATTAAAGAAGATTGGGTAAGTACCTCTTCCATAAATATACCTCACAGGTCCTTGGAATCTATGACAGATCATTACAAAAAGGACATTTCCAACAAGTTGGGAACTGACAGGCACCAACAATAATACTGATTATACAGCAATATGTGCAGCCGGGCACTACGGTGTACACAGATGATTGGAGAGCATATATATGCCTAAGTAGACTTGGCTACGCGCATGAAGTTGTCATCCACAACCGCCATTTTGTGGACCCTACAACTAGGGTGCATACCAACAACATTGAAGCTATGTGGTCGAGGCTAAAAGAATTTTTGAGACCTTATCATGGCTCCAGAGGCCGACTACTATGGAGCCATATGGATGAGTTCCTGTACCGTTTGCACAATGATTTTAGAACTTCTGAACCTATATCTGACCTTGACAAGTTTTTGACCCATGTAAAAGAACAGTATCCGCTTTAATTGTTTAGTTTTGTGTAATATATTTCTACTGTATACTGTCTTCTGATTGGCTAATATTTCTCAAGGTCATTTAAGATTCGTTCAAAGGTCGTCCGTAAAGTATAGTCTCGTCATGTGATGCCTCTGTAATTCCCACACTTGCTGAGATGTCCCTTTGGTATCCTTCTTTCCAAATTATCGGCATTTGTTCTTCTTCCAAAACGTTTCTGAATAGAAACTGGAGCATCTGTGCAGTTACCTTTATGTCTGAATTCAGTGCTTCAGTTGGTATGTTATCTGGTCTCACTGCTTTCACAGTTTTTATTTGTCTGACACCTTTGATTGTTGATTGGGTAACAGTTATCGGAAGTACTGTAGGTGCTACTTCAATGTTCGGTGAGTTCAGGGGGACTGGTCTCTAGTTGAAAGTTCTTTAAAGTGTTCTGCCCACTTATTCCTATATTGCTGAATCTCAGTGATTAGCTTGCCTTTCTTATTATTGGCTGGTTACTATAGTAAAATTCATTTACCTGCCAGCTTTTCGTAGTATCTTATGGTTGTCTCATAATTTGTTCACTGTCACTGTTAGGTCTTCCATGTATTTCTGCTTGTCGGCTCTAATGCTCCTCTTTACTTGTTTGTTTGCTTCTGTGTATTCAGTCTATATCTTGGTTTTCTCTGCTCTTGTTCGGCTGTTGCTAATTGCTGATTTCCTGTCTTTCCTTTCTTAAATCTTACCTAGGGTGTCAATAGAGATCCATTCCTTAATATGATGCTTCATGCTACCCAGAACAAGTTGTAATTAGTGCTTTTTTGATCCTTTTCCATATGTCCTCCATAGTAGTTTCCCCTTCTTCTAATAGATATTGTAAGGTTTGGAACCTGTTGCTGAGAGATATCTTGAATTTGTTGAGTTTATCATTATGTCAAAGGAACGCTGTATTTCATTTTTGTAATGCTTTTTCTCCAGTTATCTAGTGATTCTTTAGCTTCAGTTTCATCTTAGCAATCACCAGGTGGTGATCTGAAGCTATGTCAACTCCTCCCCTTGTTAATTGACTAATTACGTTTAACTTTATTTATTGTATTTGTAGGAGTTCATATTTTATTTTATATGTTCATTATTTTTAATTATAAGCTGGATTAACAATATGTTTCTTCCTCTAAAATATGGATAATTTTTTCTTTTCCTCAATAAGGTTATCTTCAAATCAACAACCTACGGGAAGATTATTTCACAATTAATTCTACATATTCATATTCAACCACCAATAATTGATCATAGTTTTCGATTTTTTCATCCTGAATTAAGTTTCATGAAGAAAATTCTACGTCTACCACGAAATATTATTGATTGGAGAAATAGTTTTACTACAAATAATCGAACAATTCAACAAGTTAACCAACGAATATGGGTTAGAGTATCTGATTCAGATGTATTAACTATATCTAATGTTCAAGGTGATATAGTTGATTTGTTGATTAAAGTTGGCCTTGGGAAATCTCCACAAGTCAGTCGAAAAAATGAAATTACTTGTTAATTTTCTATAGAGTTGAGATCACGAGTCAATTGAAGCTAGACTACCATGGAAAACCTGGAAGCACTGGACGGCCGTTTCGTCCAGTGCTTCCAAGTTTTCCATGGCGATCTAGCTTCAATTGACTCGTGATCTCAAATAAAAAATTATCAAAATCTCCACAAAACCCCCCTTCTGGTCAGTTTGATTTGTTTAAAAATAATTATGATAATGGTAAGATTTGCTTTATTCAGTATCATATGTTCGAGTTCTATAACGAATCTATAGTGAATCATACATCTGGTATGGTGTGACCCAAATCTAAGCAAAATGTATCGTTAGCGTATGTAGTCTAGTGATCATAATACGGTGGTAGTATATCGTCGAAAACGGGAAATCTTTTTGTTTTTGTCGTTATATTGAAACCTATGACCTTTAGGTTAAATATAATTAAAATATATACCTGGAAAACAATCAATGGGCGAAAACAGTACATGATTATATATAGTTTTTGTTGATGAACAATTCTTCTAACAGTTATATAAAATGGAAAAATAAACGTGCTTTATTCATGAACAAAATACGGTAAATTAACACCCCACCCTTCAAAATGCGATAGTACTGTGGTGTGGTCGGACAGAATGTATTTGGGCAGAAGATCGATAAAGAAAGAACAGAAACGAAGCGCATTCGATATAAAAATGCATGAACAATAAAAACAAAGAAGATGGACTAATATTTGCAAAAGGAACAGTGACGATTGAGATAATTGATTGTTATTTTGTAAATTAACTGTTCATTGTATGGTTATCAGAATTTAGTGAGATAGTCTGTAATTTCTTTCTAAATACATTCGATTGTTCCAACTAGTGTTTTGTTCACTACAGTACTATCTTTTTCTACAAAATTCTCTTAAACATTGAAAAAGAAAACTCTTGAAGATAACCACTAATAATTAACGATATCTAATATTGAAATGGTTCAATAAGTTGGATTAAATTAACATATAATGTCAATGTTTACAATTACTGATACCTAGTTTTCTAAATTTCTTCTATCCTTTAAAGTACAAGAACTTAAATTAATGAAGATATATATATTCTTTATCTAATGAAGATCTTCAGTAAAAACCGGTTGCTTTTTTTCTCAGAATTTCAATCTTGAATTTGTTTATTTATTGTTAGATAGTAAAGTTTATTTATAATTAGATATTTGTAATTGTGAATACTCGAGAACTATTTTTATATTCTTATTCATAGAATATGAATTCGTACCTTTTACTTACTTACGCCTGTTACCCCTCGTGGAGAAGCATAGGTCGCACACCAGCATTTTCCATCCAACCTGTTGGCAACACATTTTTTCCTTGTGTTCTTAATTTTGTACATTTTGTTCTGGTTTCCTTAGAAGCATATTTGATTTTCAACGGGTACAAATATTTACTAGGATGGCATTCAATGAAATTTATCAATTGAATATTATACTACACAGAGAAGAACTAGACAGATAGCAGCAAATATTTTTATATTATAAAGTTTTATTCATGTTTATTTCTGTTTTAGGTACGTGAATTTCTTATGAGTATTTATGTGGAACCTTTTCAAATTCGTCCAGCTTATATATGGTATTGGGCTATACATTCACTTCAACGTGTTGATGCTATTGCTACAGTTGGACAATTATCACCACCAATAGGATTGTTATTACGTACAGATGATTTTATGCCTAATACCGGTTCAAAACGAATTACTATTTACACTAGTCATCCAAATGAAGTTTTCATTGGTACAGATTTTACTTCAAATGATTTTCAGAAAAATCTTCCGGTTGAAGATTTAACACTATGTGTTACATCACGTTCTGTTTATGAGTTGAAGGTTAGTTTATTCCAATAAAACACTCATTTAAAACACCAATCTTCAAAGTTTACAATCATCTTGGTAACATAGGACATTATAATAATATTACTTTCTAGAATAAAATTTGATAACTAGTCCAGTAGTCACTTTTATTGTTGCTATACACATAGTTGGAGTTAGCTTTTCATCTACCAACATTTATCAGTCAAAGTACTGTTGAAGAACATTTCATTTATACAAATTTATGGATTATCTTTAAATACGACTCTTAAGTGGTTACCTATACACTTTTTTATGTAAGCCTAAAATCACAAAATATTAAAACATACACAGAATCAGTATAATGCTGAAGTTTCCCTAAGAATGACAAAAACATGTGTATTCCCTAGAAAGCAAAAGTTTCCAGGTGGAGGTTATGTTCTGACTAGCTACTACATAGATTATTTCACAGGTTGATGTCCCTTGTCCCTATCTCATTGTTCACATAAAGTGGATCGATAAAATTATTTAGAATAGTATGGTAATCTTGATTGCAAACTATTAATCAATATTATAAGCAAATATGGATGGTGGCTAACAGTGGAATCCAGGACGCGCGTCTCATCCTATTTTGGACTTGTCAGCTAGACAAAAGCTGCACAAGCTAGTGGTTATCAGGACTCAGTAGCTAAGTGGATAACGCTATGGTGTTTGGAGTGAACGGTAATGAGTTTGAATGCCGGAGTGAACATCAACTCTCGAACGCAGGTACATTCAACTGACGAGTCCCATCTTTGCTTATAATACTTGTGACAATATCGAGGAGATTCGCACAGGATACACATATGCCATTAAGAGATTGATCGATTGCAGTCCTAAACATCAATGAGAAGATTCAAACAATACAAAATGGATATAAATCATTATAGATATATATGTTACTCGGTAAGATCTACTCAAGAAAGTAAGTTTACAAAATGTGTTGTAACAAGGTATTTAAACCTTTTTAAATGTACTATTAGTCCACATCTGTCAATAGTGATGGTAATTAGTTCATGCACAGTAGTAATCACTAAGTTATAGGTTCGAATTGTATTCATCTTTCTTCAATCTAGATATCTAGGAAGTATCAATTAACGTACACTAAGAGTTCATGTATCTGTATTTATCCTTTAGGCTGCACGAAATGTTATTAATTTACAAACGAACAGGATTCTGTCATTTAATCAATGAAATTTTCCCCATATTTTCACAAAAATGACGAGGTATACTGTATAACTACAAGTAGGACGGAATAGATGATATTGTCTTTAAGCCAATTTTGTATAAATAATGCTTTCCTGCCGTTCCTAATAATAAAAGTCCTGATAGAAATAGTAACTTTATTCAACGCTCGTTGTGATAGTGAAGAGTTTGTATAAGTGTATTGAACTAAGTCTACATATAACATGACACACTTGTGAAGTTTTCTCTTCGGATTATGTTTCTGTGAAATGTACCTAATTGTACATACCTATTTTGAATAAATATGATCCTTTTTCTATGATTTGGTAGATATTATACATTTTACGACCTTAAATTTATTTTAAAATATATAGGTTAGACTATGTCCAAGGTATGTTGGTAAGAAAAGTTACCAAGTCAATGTAGTGGACACAGACAATCAACGTGTACTACGCGCCTGGATCCTGTGTGTGGATGCTAGACAACCAGAAATAACAAAGTCTTTTAACATAAAATTACCTAAAAAAGAAATTAGTACAGCTTGTAATAAACGTATTGCTTACACAAATCCATATCAATGTAAAAAAACATTAATACTGGAAACTAACCGATCTGATTTAGTTCAATTTAAGGTAAGCAAAATCTAAGCTAACCTTTTACATTTAGTAATATGCCCATTAATTGTGTATTGGTTTTAAATGAAACCAGTCTTTATAGTTGTAATCAGTCAAATTTAAGAAATTCAGTTTCCTCAATTCCGGACTCACATTGCTGGTTGGTTTATGCCTAAACGAAAAAAATACTCATTTTTATTGAACACAATTGCCATATCTAGATTTTTTTTATTAGTTTCGGTTGTACATTTGTTAATATTAACCTGCGAAATTAAACTCATTGACTAGGTTCCAAATCCAGCATAATGGTAGCGTAGTCGACGCTATTATATATGTATTTATATAAAATACAGACAAACAGGGAAAACAATCCATAATACAATACAGTGAGTTACCAAAGTTCTTACAATTCATGCAAGCACGACATCAGGAATTTAAGAATAAAACCAAACGAATAGAGAATACGGAAATAAACAAAAAAGACAATGTATACAGATCGACGTAAACAGCTAAGTTTGTTTTACAGACACTAGCCAAACATTTAGACGTTTCTACACAAAGTTCGGTCAAACAGTTAGATATTGATGACTGGTAGTACGTCTTTTCTAATTACCAGATCGCTTTGACCAGTTTACAAAAACGAATGAGTAATACTTCTCCAAACCACAAATATGATCAATACTCTTTTGTTTAACAAAAATGCTCGTCTTTATTAAATGAACCTCATAATTTGTATTTGTATATGTTTACAACATATCGAACTCATGAAGAATCTGTAGAACAATGGTGTCAGTTTAGTTAAGCTTCCTTAACTAAATATGTACTATTTAATAACATAGACCATGAAGCGAAATAACGGTAGTTATTGTTTGTTGGCTCTGATTTCATGATTTATTGATGACTAGACATAACTACTCAGGACTTGGAAGTCATAAATATATACTAAGAGAATGCAAAGTATATTTCGTTACTCATGATCAACATAACTCCTGGGAAAATTGTCATCGATCCATCCCTTCACATTGCACTGAGATGAAATTAACAAAATGAATGACAAAAACGTCCAGATAATAGGAATACCAAGTATGTTAAGAATTAATACAGAGAGTAAAGTTCGAGAAGAAGGGATGTAACAAGGGATAAAGTTAGAAATATTGAAGTTCAAGATTTATGGAAAGGAAGAGAATGGATAGATATGCGCACTGAAATCGATTTTAAGTTGTGTCAACTGAAGTTAGAAAAAAACGGATTTCTAGCAAAACATTCCCATTAAGTGTATCTGGAAGCCTGATATCTTCCAAACGACAAAAAAGTACCGTTCAACTGAACGTTACTATATCTGCTTAGTGCCTTTGCCCATCCAACTAACTTTTTATACATATATTGCTTCCATGAAATCAGTAATTCATAGACACCTACGTAATATTTACACTTTACTCTTTTATCGTAAATTATGGGGATTGACAAAAAATTAGGAATCCATAATGGAAATCCCAGCAGCAGGAACGGTTCAGATTGGACTACATTTTGTTCCACAGGCAACAGTGGATTCGGAACAGATATATATCTTCATTAAAGATGAACAAGGCAAAAATTTGGAAACATTTTTAATCATTGCTCAATATTATTAATGTTAACCTAAAATAAAATCCTGTTTATTCGCAATTCATTACTCGTTATTATATTTACTCATTAGAACCTTTTCAGCGTTATATAACCAGTGACCTTTGAAAAAGTCACGCACTAATACCAGTCTCTCGCGTCAACTTAGATATTCAGCACATATAACTAAGATAAATTATAAATTTCTCACTAGCTACAGTTTATTGAATCTACAATGAATGAAATCATTTACATTTCTTTTCAAGAGCATTATAAGTTAACTAATCATTTTTAGGGAAAACTAGTATAGTCACCGAAATTTTCCGAAAAATAAATACTTGAAACTTCTAGCCACTATTAGGTAATAGGAAATAAGTCCCATATTCTAGTCGCAGGAAGTAAGATATGGATATACAATACTTAGTTTTAAGTTGAAGCTATACTTCAGCAAAATTTTACGTGTAAATTCTGATAATTTACTTTAGCATATAGATACTCGATCGATGAGAAAATGTTTACACAGTTACATATCTCAGTGATACTTACTTTAGGGATAGCCTATTACTGAGTGTTTGGACATTTGCGCAGAAGTATATGGAACACAGATATTATGCAGAGAAATGACTGCTTGGTTAGACCGCTTAACTTTCAACCAACCGATCGAAAGTCAAGCTACTTCAGTGTTTATGGTACCTTTTATTTCCGAATTCCTTGATAAGTGCTCAAAAACAGGGACATATACTCTTCTCCCTGTTATTTTAATGTGCTTTGTCACGCAAAATGTGTTAATTAATTCACTTTAAAGGTGTTCAACAACGGGATCTAGGTTTATATACTCAGCTTTAGAACATACATTTTATATTACGAACGTTGATAATTTGTCCAGGATCGACGTTCGGTAATCATCCTAAGTAATCAACAAATACAGGACATCCTGTCTAAACTTCGCTGAAACAGACTGAATTCATAATTGTCTCCGATTCCTAAGATTGTTCCTCTGACAGATCACCAGTTATTACACATAAAGTAGCGAGGACTTTACGCTGTGATTTTTTGACAAATAGTTAATCTAGAGATAACTGATGACCGACTAAACTCTTTTTTACCTATAGTAAAAAATATTTTCCATAAGTGCTAGACTTAACCATAGAGATGTGAGAATGCCAACAACTTCAAGTGTTAGACAAAAATATTACTGGTGTATTATTTGCATAAGCGGACATAAAAGACACTTTCTTGTGAAACAATAATGAACAAGCCTATACATCTCGTAGCATGAGGAAGATAGTATCATTTGTATCAGTAATAATGATACTAATTTGGCATTGTCAGTGATGCACCGCGCTGACTGCATGACGACAACGACTGTGTGATGCTAAAACATATGTATTCTACTACCTGGATATATACCATCAACTGATTACGTTAATACAACATAAAATGTATAAGTCAAATAAGAAATGCGGTTTGTATTCCTATATTTTGCACGTGCATGTGAACAGCAGAACAATAAGAGGGCAGTGAAAATGGAAATCAGCGTTCCAGTAGGGAGAATGACTCAATCTCTATGTAAGACGAATATTGTATAGACTACATACAACTAATTAGGGTACACGTTAGACAAAGACAGAAAAATGTACAATAACTGACGAACCGACAAGCAGAAATACGTGGACAGCGGAAAAAGCTACAAACGAAGGAAATACTAAACTACCAAATTCTAATCTTCTGATTTCTCCATGTCTCTATTTTTTTACTCTTTCCAAATTTATTTCACTGGATTATACTCCTTCAATAACATCTTCAAAACCTAATCTTTCACATTAATACTTATACTCTTACTACTTCTACCACTATGGGATTGGAATCAACAACTAATCTGTGCTAATGTGGTATGGCAACTTGAACTGATGCACGTACGTACGAAGCTCTACGACGTGGCTGACTGATTGATGTGACACAATGAAGAAAAGATATCTCATCGAGATACTAAAGGAAGGAAATTTGAGCAAATGTGAGGATTACAGAGGCACCACACTGTTGTCAGTACCAGGAAAAGCTTTCAACAGAGTTTTACTGAACCCGATGAAAGACGCAGTAGACGCCCTACTTTGAGATCAACAGACCGGACTCCGTAAGGATAAGTAGTGCACAGACCAAATTGAGACACTACGAATCACCGTTGAGCAATCAAATGAATGGAACTCGTCACTATACATCAACATCGACTATGAGACGTTTGACAGTGTGGACAGGAGAACATTAAGGAAACTTCCTCGGCACCATGGAGTTCCTGAGAAGATTGTCGACATCATCCAGAACTCATACGACGGACTACAGTGGGAAGTGATGCATGGAGGACAGCTGACAGATGCGTTTTCAGTAAGGACGGGAGTCAGAAAAGGCTGTCTACACTCCCCCTTCCTCTTTCTTCTGATGATTGACTGGATTATGAAAACCTCGACATCTGAGGGGAAGCACAGAATAGAATGGACGTTTCAGAATCAATTAGACGACTTGTACTTCGCAAATGACCTAGCCCTCCTATTTCATACACACGAACAAATGCAGACGAAGACAACAAACGTAACAGCAGTCTCTGCATTAATAGGCCTCAACATACACAAAGGAAAAATCAAGATTCTCAAACTTAACACAGTGAACGCCAAGCCAATCACACTTGATGGCGAAACTCTGGAAGATGTAGAAACATTCACGTACCTGGGAAGTATCATTGATGAACAAGGAAGATCTGATGCAGATGTAAATGCGAAGATTGGCAAAGCAAGGACAGTATTCCTACAATTGAACAACATATGGAACTCAAAACAACTGTTATCTAATTTCAAAGTGAGGATCTTCAATACGAACGTTAAGACAGTCCTACTGTACGGAGCTGAAACGTGGAGAACTAAAACCATCGTAAAGAAGGTACAAGTATTTATAAACAGTTGTTTACGCAAAATGCTCAACATTCACTGGCCACATACTATCAGCAACGGCGTTTTATGGAAGAGGACCAACCAGCTTCTAGCTGAGGAGGAAATTGTAAAAAGACGAAGGTGCATAAGACATACATTACGGAAATCATCGTACTGCATCACGAGGCAAGTGCCAACTTGGAGTCCTGAAGGGAAACGGAAAAAAGGGAAGGTCAAAGAACACACTGCGTCGGGAATCGGAAGCAGACATGAAAAGCAATTGGAAAGGACTGCTCAGAACAAAGGTGGGTGGTCTATGCTCCTCCATGAGGGGTAACAGGCGTAAGTAAAAATATATGTGAACAGAATAAATCCACGCAAGCACTTGTTAAAAGTTTATACAAGTTAATATGTAATTAGATCAGCTTAACAAAAATCAATGCAGATTGATAATAATCCATGTTTTGTGTCCAGAATTTGGGTACATAATTTCCATTAGGATTATTCGATAAACTTGACGGTTCATGTAATTAGAGAAATACAACAAATTGCCCAGTTATTTGAACGGAAAGGTGCAAGGATGACTATTACATCATCAATCCATGACGTCAGTGGCTCATAATTACAGCCGTGAAAGAAGGTACAGGGTTTCCAACTAAAGTTACATACAACTTAGACCGATGGTCGGAAACTCTAGTTACATCTTAGGAATGATGCATCTGCTAACGCTTGAACATCATTTAATTCGACGAACTCATTCCCCGGTATTTGTTCTTTCGGCTTTCCTTCAGTCTCATTGCTTATGCTGTATTCTCGTTGATTTCGTGCTGTTCTGTGGGAAAACTTAGACAAATAAATATTGACTCCACGTCACAACTTGTTTTCGTTTGACTTCTTTTATTCATTCTAGTGAACAAAATATCTTTGTCTGATACAAAAAGTGGATGACGTTTCTCTACAAATAAATTAGTCATAGAGTACCTGACTTCCGTACTAGCTTTGGTGTAAACAGTCGATATGGGAAATTCGCGGGTACCTCCACGAAAGACGCAACATAACTACACTGACTAAATAAAGATTGAGAAAATAACTACTTTCAAAGCATTATATTGAATATCCAGAATACTCCTTAATATAAACGATGCTCCCCGCATTTGGAAAGACGAACAAAAACCTACTTCGGATTTAATCACCACATAAAAATTACTGTTTAAAATGAACTTAAAGTAATGCTACATGCTGGAGAATTTTCATTGCAAGTCACAAAGTAATGTGCACTGTAGTAAGTCAAGTAACCAAAGGCTTTAGGGATTATTACGTCAGTCAGTCATTCAGCTACAACGTAGGACCAGGCACACATATGCATAGATCCAAGTTGCCATACATCGTTAGCACAACAGGATGAACACCAAATTCATCGAAGTAGTCAATTTAGTGGTGATAATATATAAAAGAAAGGTTGTATATAAGGATATAGTTTAGGAATGAAGACAGATATGAAGCAATTTTAATCTCAAGGTTTAAGGGAAGATAAAGAGTATGTACGCCTACGCCATCGTGAGCCATGTCACCTAGAGTCTCCAACCATTGGTTACGATAGTCGCGCAGACCCCAACCAAGTAGTCTGCATCCACAAACATGGCTGAGACTAGAAGTTAGTGACCTCAAGCACTGATGCCACGTTATGGTTCGGCCGCCCCTAACTCTCTTCCAACCATCTACACTAGTCAGCATAGCGCGTCATGTAATCGGTGTTCAGACATACGTAACACGTGGTCCAACCATCCCAGTCGATGAAGATTCATGACCTTATCAACTGATTTACCATCATTCCCTAATACCTTGTGTCTAACCTCACCATTACTTACCCGGTGATCCCAGAAGATGCGAGCAACATTTTTAAGGCATCTGTGGTCAAATACTAGTAACTTACGAGTATCTTCCACTCTTAATGGCCATGTTTCACAGCTGTAAAGTAGAACGGAGCGGACTGTTGTTCAGTATACTCGTCCCTTAATTGATAGACGGATATCTCGACTTTTCCATAGGTGACGCAAGTTAGCAAAAGCCAAACGAGATTTTTGAATACGTACTGAGACTTCGTCAGACGCCAACCCACTAGGGCTGATCAGACTTCCAAGATAAGTGAAGTTGTCGACGCATTCGACTACTTTACTCCCTATCCTTAGTTCAGGTGTTGACGCAGGCCAGTCCTGGAGTAACAATTTACATTTACAGGGGAAGAAACGCATCCCAAACATGCTGGCATTATTACTCAGTTCTATCAGAAGACTCTGCATTTTGTCAGTGTCTTCAACAAACAGGAACATGTCATCTGCGTATTCCAAGTCGATAAGTGGGTCTCCTGGTAGAAGATCAATTCCTCAAAATTCAGTCGGCGAGTGTTATTTCCAGTAATAGGTCTATAATGAAGTTAAGCAAAAATGAGGATAGTGGACAGCCTTGTCGGACACCACTTGAGGTTGTAAAATCAGATGACAGTTCGCCATAAGCTCTCACTCGACTGGTAGTGTTCGAATAAAGAGCCTTCACAACGTTTATGTACTTCTGAGGTACACCTTTCAATGACAAGGACTATTATGACATAAGTACCGATCTTCCTGGTAGCAATCTTGGATCATTGGTTAAAGGAACTCTCGTAATACAGCTACTGCACAAGGAAAAAACTCTATTGAGAAAATCCAGATCGTAAATCTGCCGTTTTCTTTTAAAACGGCACACAGATGTACTATCTGTCAACTCTTAATCCCTGTTTTAGGTTAAGATCAAGCACCAGCCATTTCGTCAGTTAGCTATTATCACCCGCCACGTGTGGCTCAACACCGATTACATAAATATGTACTTTTTAAATGAGTGAGATTACTACTAACTTATTACTAGGAATTCCATCTTCACCACTAGAAAGCACTCTTTTTCAGTGTTAGTTTGTGGGCACAATTATCGCTTCAAATAGTTCGTACTCTTCTGGAACTTCATAGATTGTATACATACTACGTCATATCATTAGAATATTTGCGCTAGACCTAATTTTTTTACTTGACGAGTCAATTATAGTCACAGTAAATTTAGATTTCTTATAAATCAATTCACAAAGTTATTAAAAATGAAACAACCCTGATTACTTGTCACCTCGAAAACCAATGAACATAACGAGAGGATTAACCTGTAAGCTCTAGCTTTTTGTGAAATTGGGAAAACTATACATCATGAAGAAATTGAGTCTATTCATGAAAATTCCTACAAGTAGCCACTCGAAATACAAAAAACGAGCAGCGTTATTTGTTCGCAATACGCTTTAATGTAGTGCAGTGCAATACACTGACTTCATTAATAGTGTAACAAAATACTTTTAAAATTCAATTCGTTCAGGAGGATAGATACAACACGTAATAATCCTGGCTTGTTATTTTTCAAATTATTTGGTCCAGCTCTTTCGTATAGTCAAGCATAACTCGTGTCACGTGGGCAGATGGGATGGCATCGTCCGCCCGTTTCTTATGCTTGGGGAAAATAAAAGTATCATCCTGCAAATTCCATGCTCTCTAAAAAATGTTCTGTAGTGTCTATATACATACCTTTTCAGCAAATAATTTCGTTTCATTGTTTGAACTAAAAAACAACATAGGAGTAGCATCTTTGAGTGACAACGTTTCATACGCGTGCTCTATGCAAGAGGCAACTTCCTCCCTAAGGAAAACGTAAATTAGTGTCCACATTTTACCTAGTTGCGTTCAAAAATATATCGATGAAGAAATCGTATCTCTTGGATGGCACGTTACCTTTGGACAGGAAGACCTTGTGAAAGTTGCCTTCCATTAAGTACTGCTCCATAGAGAC